TATAGTGGTTATTTAGCTAATGTTCAATTCTTTGCTTGTGAAAATGCATATGATCCAGACTTCAAACCACCTGGAGAACCAGAAGTTCCTAAATAACCTGAAGTACCAATTAAACCCCCTGAACCATAAAAAGAACCAACATGTTAGAAGGGTGACACTAATGTTGCTGATACTGCATTCGATTCATAAAAACCATTAATTGATCTTGTATTAGACAAACCAGAATAATTGTAAGATGTAAGAGAATATGGATATTAATTCTGGATGAGATATATGACTCGTCATCCTGTTCCAATGTATCAAGGTAAAAGAGCCCCATGGTACTTTGTTGCTAGATTATCAGGTAGAAAAGACTTTGAGGATGTAGGAAAAGGAGATAGATTGTTGGCAATATACTAAGGTAAATCAGATTATACATTTGTTACTAATGATCATAAGAATAATAATTTCAATACAGATGCTGGTAGTTTTGAATTTGGAGATATTGAAGCTGTTTGGACATTCGTTCATTTTTCATATACCTCTGTAGGTAAAGTTGTTTCATGGATATAATATGACAATAATGAACCAAAGACCTTCACTGTTGCTGCTACACATGACAAACCTGATTACTTAGAATTTGTTTTAGGTGGTACTCAAGGAAATACTTATCCAGGATTCAATGGTTAATTCACATCTGTTGTTGTCAAAGTAGGATAAGGTTCATTTATTGAAACAGCTGAATAATTCCGTAAATTTGCTATCTCTTGTAATCCAAGACCACTCCCTGTTTGTAATAAAGCTAAAGAAGTCTTGTTGATTGAAAAATCTAAGAGATTTGAAGCTTAAACTAGTGAAGTTAATGAAATTGCTTCTCCTGAAGAATAAGCATTCCCTGATGAATATTCTATTAGTGGTTGGTTCAAATGGAGAGCCACAGTTATGGAACCATGGCATTTAGCTATACGTCTCCATTAAAATAAGGGTATGGAGAATGCCAATGCTGCCAAGTTGGGAGATAGAACCTTAGGTGCATTTGTTGGAAATAATGGAAATTATGCTATTACAACATATACTTATACTAATTTGAATGGTGAAGGTGATCCAAATAAATATGTTTAAGTGCCTTATAAAGATTAATTAGCTTAATGGCATTTTGTTTTCCTTGGATATAGTAGAGTAAAGAGACAAGTTGTTGGTTTCTTGTAATGGAAAGAAAGAAAGGAAAATATTAACTTGGAAAATATCAATCATTATTTGACCAATTCAGTATATGTCAATGTAGGAAAAGACAGATTTTATCCAGCATTCAATGGTCATATTGGAGGATTGAGATTATAATTATGTAGTGGAGCATTCACACCTGTATTCCCAGATGATCCTAAACCACCTTAAGTACCATCTACACCACCTCCTCCTAAACCAGTAGATCCTGTTTAACCACCTAAACCTTAAGAACCTGAAATTGTTAGAAAGTGTGTTAGTGGATAAGTTCAAATTGGAGACATGCCTTCAAGTGGTGATAAAGTTGTTGATCTCAAAGTCACTGAAGATAAATTAGGTAGTGCAATTGAATACGGATATGGATTTTGGACTAGATGGCTTACAAGATGGCCAGATAATCTTATTAAAGGAGCCAGTGAACCATGGTATTTCATTTCTAGATTGACAAATAATGATCCATATGATAACATTAGAATGGGAGATAGATTATTGGCTATTTGGTTAGGTTAAGCTGGATATACATTTATAACTAATGATGTTGCTTCAGGTAATCCAAATCTAAACAAATAAATACCTTATGGAGATATTGAAGGTGTTTGGACATATATTCATTTCAGTTACAAATCAGGATAAGCTGTTGGTGTTGTAAGAGTTGGAGATAAGACTTAATTCACTGTTATTGATGCCAAACATGACTAACCTAAATTCTTAAGATTGATAGTAGGAGGTTCCGATCTTAAATTATATCCAGGATTTAATGGTCAAATTTCATCACCAATTCTTAAATTAGGTGCAGGTTCATTTGTTAATACCGAAGATGATTTCAATAAGTTTGTGTTAGCTTGCAACCCAAGACCAGAACCAGATTGTAAGGGTAAGACTGAAAGCAAATTGATTGAGGGCATAAAGAAATATGAATCAACTTAACCAGAATTTTATGAACATGTAAGAGATGAAAAATCTTTATTCCCAACTATGTATGGTATTGGTGGTTGGTATAAATGGGAACCAACAAAATAAGAACCATGGCATTTGGCATTTAGAGTTACAATTAATGATTAAAAGACTAATAAAAATGCTGATTTGTTGGGAGATAGAACATTAGCAGTTTGGTTAAGTGATCAATAATTATATGCATTTGCCACATATACTTATACAAATATGTTTGGAGCAGGATAACCAAATGCAGCTTAAGTAATTAAACATTAAGATAAACACACTGAATGGCATTATATTACATTCTAATATAATAGAGAGACCAGAGAAGCATATGGATCAATTATATTTAAGGATGGTAAATTAGATGTGAAATTCCCTAATGTAAATCATTACTTGGTTCCAGTATTAAGAATATTGATAGGAAAAGATTAATTCTACCCATCATTCAATGGATATATAGCTGATGTGACATTTGTAAATTGCCAAGATCCATACAATCCATAATTTAATCCAGGAAATCCTCCTGAATTACCTAAACCACCTGTTATTCCAGTTGAACCACCTTAACCATTACCAGAACCAAAATGTTAAATGGGTGATGAAACTATTGTAGATACTGCATATGATGATGTCAAACCATTAGCTGATATTGAAGCCACTCCAGAGAATTTGAAAGATATCAGAGAATATGGTTACTCATATTGGGTCAGATATTTGAGCAGACATCCTAAACCAATGTATTAAGGTAAAAGTGAACCATGGTATTTCATGAGTAGATTGACAGTCAATAAAGAATATTAGAATATTGAAAAAGGAGATAGATTATTGGCTATATGGTAAGGTCAAGGTGCCTACACATTTATTACAAATGATTATAAGAGCAATAATTGGAATCTGAACAAAAACATTGAATATGGAGATATTGAAGGAGTTTGGACTTACATCTATTTCAGTTACAGTAGTATTACAAGTCAAGCAGTTGGTTTTGTTAAATACACTGGTAAAGAACCATAATCAGTCACATTTGATGTTACACATGAAAAACCAACATATTTAAGACTCATTATTGGAGGATCAGATCTCAAATTATATCCAACTATCAATGGTCAATTAACAAGAGCTGTATTTAAGATTGGTGCTGGTGCTCATCTTGATACTGTTGATGAATTAAATAAGTTTGCTTTGGCTTGCAATCCTTAACCAAAAGAAGTCTGTTCCAAGGCTGTTGAATAAGTTCTCATTTAAGAATCTAAGAAGTTTGAATTAGCCAAGGCTACAGTTATGGAAATCCCATCAGATCCTTCAGCTGCCTTCCCATCTGAATATAGTGTTTCTGGTTGGTTCAAATGGAAATAAACAACTATGGAATAATGGCATTTAGCCTTCCGTCTTCACATCAATAAAGAAGAAGCAAATAAGAATGCTGAAAGATTGGGAGATAGAACTTTAGCTGCCTGGGTTTCACCTGCTCAAGATGGCATCTATGCCTTTGCTACTTATACCTATAAGAATTTGAATGGAGCTGGAGATCCAAATCTTGCTAAGATTGTTCCATAGAAATAACAATAGACTAATTGGCATTTCATCTTTTATTCTTACAATAGAGATACTAGAAAGGCAGAGGGATATGTTTAATTCAAAGACAGAAAAGAAACAATACTCTTTGAAAATGTTAATCATTTCTTAGTACCATAAGTCTACTTGAACATCGGTAAAGATCGTTTCTATCCTTCATGGAATGGCCATATTGGTAAATTCAGAATGAATCTCTGCGGTGGAGCTTCTAGACCTGTTTTCCCTGATGGTATTTTATTATGATTATAGTATTTTAGATATCACTGTTCCTCCTCCAGTGACTCCAACTCCTAAACCACCAGTATCTGAAACTAAAGAGTAATTTAATTATTATTATATTTAGAATCTGTCTTATCAATACTAAATTGGTTGAAGTTACTAAGAATAACATCAAAGATGTTATTAAAGAACTTGAAGCTCTTGAAAATTCAGAGCCTACTGAAAAGACATGTTATTGCACTGTACCCAAGAAAGCCTCCATGTTTATTGAATTGTATGGAGAAGAATTATCAAACCATGTCGACAACCCAGTAATCTAAAGATTGATAGCTCAAAATCAGGTGCGTTTGAGGATATGATTTATCAAATTATGTATCATTCTGCAAAAGAACATGCTTTACTCTAGTATTTCAGTTATTGGTATGTCTGGTATTTTCCACCTTCATTCAGATCCGGCATAAAACTCTATAATTATGGACTGGATTGTTTCTTAGGAGTACTAATATGCTTTGTAAATTAACTCTATCTTAATTTCATTGTTTGAGTTAATTATTATAATTTTGAGTTATTTGATATTAAGTACTTAACACAGTCAGGTTGAGAATATTCTCTTCCATACTTTCTTAATTGAGCTGGGAATGCTTGATCTGGATGATCTTTCCAACTTTTTAATTAAACTTATCCACCATCATTAATCGTTACAAAATAATCTCTTCCTTTTCCATCTCCAAAATAATGTTGAATTCTTTAATGTTAAGGAGGAAGCAATCCTCTACTTCGAGAACTAACTTATAACAATATAGTTTACTTTGTTGCACTTTTTGGAAATATCATCTTTGTGAAATCCGCCCTTGGAGATAAATCGAGTGAGCTAAGCATTTTTTATGACAATAGACCACCATTTATATGTTTTACATACTGATCCCTAATAATCATACATTAATATTACCTTCCAGTCCCATCATTGTGATAATGGAAATGCTTGGCATCAATCTTTGGATACTTATAATCGTGCATAATTTTATTATTACTCTTTATACAATTAGTTATATATACATATATACTCAATAACTTAATTTGTAATAGTTATCCAAACTATCAAATTTAAAATCCATCATGAATTGATTCTTAAATGTATATGCAGCTTAACTACTACCTCTATCTGTAAATCTGAATTCTTAGACTCTGATCCAACTATTTTCATTACATTTTATATAGAAATAATTTTTGAATTATTTAATCTTTAATAACCATATTGTGCCATTCTCAGCTATATTAAATTACTTTAAATGTTCTAATTCTAAGTCATTTATTAATGTAATATTTTCCAAATAGAATTCTCTCTCTTTATATTTCAATTTCAAACTATGGAAATTAGTCCCATAAATTCCTCTATATTAATTGTAAATCTTCTTTGCATTATTATTAAAATCCACCTTTAAATCAATCTAAGTAATCTTAGGTGCTTTAGTTGTTTCACTTGTATTTTAGCTCAATCTCTCATATTTATCAATATTATTAATAAATTCCTCTATTGAATCTGCTGTCAATTATGATAATTTCTATGATAACTCTTTATATCTATCAACTGCTAGAATCTCAATTTCTTTTCTTAAAAGGATAGCACCTGCATCAAATCTCTAGATATTAATGAATATCTACTTATTTTTTGAAATCTCAATAAATGAGACACCTGTTTTTTATTCATCATTCATAATAGCTCTTTATATTGGAGCTGCTCCTCTGTATTTTGGTAAAAGAGAAGGATGAATAACATAAACTCCTTTCTTAAAAATATCTATAATTTAATTAGGAATCATATATCCATAATTACAAACTATTCCCAAATCAGGTTGATCTTGTATTTCATTAATAAAACTATTGCCTTTATCTGATAAATTTGGCTAATATATTTCTATATATTTTCAAATCATATACTAAATTATTATTAGATAGCGTAATCTTTTATTTAGTTTTTCTCTTTATGTGAATGATTTGGCACTGTTATCAAATTTATTTTCGGATCAATTGCTGACAACTTATGCAGCCTTTAAAAAATTGGCAAAGGAAATAAGCCACTTCCAAAAAAAATAGTTTTCATATTATTAATATACAAAAATGAATAATCAAATTTCATCTGTAAATGGATCATTGATTGGTTCAAATGTATAAGATTATAAATGGCTACCTTTTAATCTTAGATATTCATTAAAAACTCCTCCAATACAACCTAATACTATAATAAAAGGAACTAATAATAATTCCTCAAACATAATTAAGTAAAATGAAATATTTTTATTTTCAACATCCTAATATAAATAAGTGTATGAATATACTTCAATATCCAAAGAACTAAATAATAATCCTTAAAGAAATCCAATCAATGAACTTATAAAGATAAATGATATAATCTAATTGGGAGTTTCCACAATAGTTCTTTATTATACTTTTTAAGTTAATCCAACAAAAAAATTGATTAAATCAATAGTTAAATAGCTTATAGTAGAACTTAAAGACATTCCCAAAATCACATACAAAGGAATCTTTGTATAAAAATTCAATCCTTTATGCCTATTCTATTCGAGTACTTTACCATTCTTGATCAAAATATAAACAAAAACATATAAGTCCAGATGCAATAATAACACTTGCAAAACATACTAAATACTTTTATTTTAAAGTCCATTAAGTATTAATTCTATTATTCATTAAAATTTTAGTTTTCAACAAAATATAAACACCTGTTAATATAAATGTTAATCCAAAATACTTCCTACATAATTCAAATATATTACGGCTGAAAATACAATATTGAATCGAATTTCAATCAATATAAAATTCCCAATTGTTGTTGATAATAGACATATTATTGCTCCAATCAATCCTGAAATTACCAATTGAATTTATTCTTTTTTGGTGATCTTCCACCAATAATTAGATTGCATTTAATTAAATAATCTATATTTTTATTAAAACTAATTCATATTATAATTTGTAATAAAAAATATATTTACTTTTTTCTAAATCTTTATATAAGTTTGTTATTTGAATGCTACAAAAATATTTAAGTTAAAAATCATATAAAATATCAAATTTCTAATAAATTAGAAGTATTTCTATAAATAATAATCATTTTTTATAAAATGTATGTAATAATAATAAAGTATATCATGAAAAAATAATACGTGTTATATGAATAAAGATTTTTTATTTCTCTTGAAATTAAAATAATTCAATTTATATGAGAGATAGCTTAACAAGAACATTTAATTAATTAGTAAGAGCAACCATTTAAAAATAATCAATTAATACTTTGATATAATTATAATTCTTTAAGGATATATTAGTAAAATGTATCATATATCATCAAATTATTATATTACTAGGATTCATATAATCATCTCTTTGAATTTTGCATTTAGATTCTTATTTTTTTTTGATGGCTTCAGAATCTATTAAATGTGATCAGATTAAATATAAGAAGGATCATCGTGAGTTAAATACAATTTTGAAGAGAATTTAAGTTCACTGACACCTACTTATTCATTTTCCTATTATAATTGATAATTATACTTATTTTATAGAGATTTATTTTTCAATATCATAGTATAATTCATCCATTTTATCATCATCACCGGTTAGGTTACTAACAAGGGGAGTAAGTTTCAATTAAACGATATAAGGTTAGGATGATGCTTCAATATCGTTAAGACTGTCTTATTTATATTATTTCTAAGCTTCAAATTAACATGTTCCCATAATGAGTTTCTTTAGAATAATTATTATTAGGGATTAAGGTTTATGTAATAAAACAATTAAATCCTTAATCAATTATATGATTATTAAAACAAAGAAATTTAATAATAAAATTGCTATAATTAATTCTTTTCAGTAACAACTTTGGTTGTGAATAATTATAATATATAAATAATATTTATTCTCATTTTTTAAATGTTGCTTATCTAACTTACAAGCATTTAGATTTTTCATCCCATATCACTAAAAATTAACCATCATTTGTCAATGAACCATAATTACAATAATGACCTATATCTATCATTTGAGAAATCTCTAAATTATGTGACAAATTCATTTTCATTATGTAAACAAACTATCCATGCTTATTTATAAGAACCTATTTTTCTTCATTATATATAGAAGGGAAAAAGTTTTAGTAACCCTCACTAGATTATTATAATACTATATGATGTTAATCTAATTCAAATTAATTTGTATTTGTATCATATTCATAGAAAAAAGTTTTATTTTAACTTCTTGGTTACCATGCTATTTTTAGATCATCAATAAAACAAAGTCTATAACCAAAATCATCATTTTTAATACTTTATATTAAATTCCATACTTTAGATTTATTTAGTTCCCATATTAATATCAATTTATCTTCCCCACAAGATACAAGTAAATTTTATGATTTATTAAGACTTATACATCTAACATAAGCAGAATGATTAGTTAAATTTTGTACTTGAAACCATTAAGATTATTAATTTTTTGTCCAAATCCTTATTGTTTTATCACAACTACATGATAATATTTGGTTATTTTTATTACTCATTAATAAACAATCAATCTATCTTTTATGTCCCAAAAGTACTTATTTGCATACCCAAATATTATTAATTAGTTCCCAATATCTAATAGATTTATCAGTACTACCAGAAACAAATTCATTCTTATTAGCACTAAATTTAAGTGATATAACTTAATTTGAATGACCTTAAAGATCTATTATATGTTATATCTTCCCATCATTAAATTACCAAATAGCTATATCATTTTGACATCCACTAATCATTATAGTTTAATCAAAATTAAAAGATATTGCATAACAATTTTATATCTATGAATATTTACTTATAATTTAGTATTATATCATACATTATTCTTTATACTCAATATTCTCTTTATCAATTTGAATATCATCAAAATAATTAGGAGATGAAAAGTTACTATCATTCTAAATTCTTTAAATCCTCATTTCTTATTCCTAAGATTGAATTTATATTAATTCTTATAATTTTTAATTATTTCTAAATTAGTTTCCATTTTTATGTATTTGATAATCATTATCATTTATATAACTTTCATCTGAAGAACTAGCTGATTTACTAATTTCTTATGAATGACATAAAGTTGATCTTAAATTATCATATAAATGTTATTATTAAACATTTAATTCTTTTATTTATTCTTATAATAATTTTAATGAATAATCAGTAATTTATTAATATTCATTATGAATTATCTGATTTTAAGATTCTTCTGATTTAATCAATATTTCTACTCTTTCTAATATTTAATCTTAATTTAAATTTATCCAATCTTCATTTTATATATTAATATTAGAATAGATTTTTTGTTTATTTATAGCTAAAGTATCTTCAAATTATATTCTTATTCCTTTTAATTAATCTATAATTTATTATTCTATTTTCTTATTTTGATCTCGTATTTATTCATATTACACTTCCATATCAAAAATTTATTATTAAAGATAAATTCTCTTTTTTTATTCAAATATCTACCATTTTTCCTTACATTTAGTTAATGACCAATATATTTCTGGCATACATTCTATGCAACACAATCTCATTTATTTATAAACATTCTCATTCATATCTATCATTATTATTTCCTTTTAATGATGTTAACATACTAGATTCAATTTTGGTGTTTCACTTGAATTCACTCTTAATATTTATTTATCACATTCTTTCAATAGTAATTTATCAATTATATTAAATTCATTTTTCATTTAATACTATTTTTTTAAATCACACAAAAGATCTAAACAATTTTGAATTCCTTCAAAATTATTAATCTATTGAAGCTCTTTAGAAAGAGATTGTATAAAGATCAAATCATTTAAATTATTTTATTGCTAACAGTAACTGTATTAATACTCTATAATCTATTAGATTTGTTAATTAATACTAATATCTCTTACTTCTTTGTTTTTTTTCAATTTCTCCTCTTCTTCTCTATTAAATTATAATTAAGTTTGTATAATATTGATTCCATTGTCAAAAATATTTATGATTTCTTTTTTCATTTTACTTAAATTGTCTAATAATTGAATTAAGTAAGTTTCTTTGAGTTGATTAATTTCATCACTCTTCTATTATTGTAAAGTAATGAAATTCTCAATAAATTTTTTAATTTCTCTTATAGGGATAATTGATCTAGATGTATTACCAACTAAACAATATATACACTACATCATTTCTGACAATTATATGTTAGGATTTAAATTAATTGCTATTACTTCAGAATTGTGTATAGGACATTCTACTTTAAATATTTAGGATGACATTATGTAAACAAGAATAAATTATCAAAATTTACAAATAATTAAAATGAATAAATACATTAATAAGATTCACTTAATATGGTTTATCTAACTTGAATATATTTATATTTAAGAAAATATAAATATAATTTAGTTTATAAATATTATTAATTATGAAGTAAATATAAATATTTCAAGAGTATGAAGGTTCACATGGTATTTTAATAGTAAATACAAAATTTATATATTAATTTAATATCTTTAATTTCTCGATAAAAGTTTTAATAATATTTTCTTCCACTTTTTATATGATAATTTAAAAGATAAAATTATAGATTCAAGTAATAAAGTCATAATATATCAGAAATGATAATATATTTTTTTATATTTTATATTTAAATATATGAAGTTCTTAATGCATTTTAATTAAAATTGCATCCAATTTTATATTATTTAATTTAGTATAAATTTATATACATTATAAAAATTCTATAATTTGAAGAGTAAATTATTATTAAGGTGTTTATTTATTTAAATAATACTTTATTAAACATGATTGGAATTATCATCAATTATGTAATCATAAGAAATAATAAATAAAAAATTAATATATTATTTATTTATAGAAATAAACATCTTCATATTTTATATTAATTGATTCAAACTTGTTGCTAATGTGGGACAAAATAGACATCAAAAGTCTTATGACTGGGATGGCAATTGGAACAGTATTTGGAGGAGCATTAGGCTATTTATTTTTTTATTCAAAAAATCAAATAAAGCATCTTGAAGAACAAAATTTTGATTAGTTATAACAAATAAATTAGCTAATTTCATAAAATTTAGCTAATAAATAACAAATAGACTAACTTACATAATAAAATGCAGATAAGCAAGATTAAATAAATAAATTTAAACTTGATAACAACATGATTGATTTAAAAAGAGATAATGGATTGTAATTGGCACGTAACATAAGATAAAATGTAGAAAACATGAAGAATCATCTCAATAATGTTAATAGAGTAGTTATACAATTAGAAAATCATGTTAAATAATTAGAAAATCCCACTGAATAGTATATTTGATAAAATTCTATATATATTAAAGATAGAATTATATAATTTTAATATAATATAAAACTTATCATTTTCTATATTTATTTGTTTTTTTCTAAGCTACACTAACCTATGCTGTAGAAGCTCCACTTGATTTGAATGTATTTACTGTTTCATTTCCTGCATTACCTCCTTAAGTTCTGCTATGAATTTATTTCTTCTTTTTCCATTCTTTTCTTTCTTATTTAGGTAACCATCTTTCTGGATTTGGTAATGGACCAGGATTGTTTTTATCAAAATTTTTAGGGTATCTAATTCTCTTCTTTTTCTTTTTTTATATTTTCTTCACTTAAACTTCTACTTTTTTTGATAATCCTATATTCTTCTCTAAATTTTCAATTTCATTCATATCTGTTATTCCATCATACTATAAAGAATCAATAAATTTAGCTCCTTATTGAAGTTATCCCTTTTCAATACATAATAAAGCAAGTTAACTCTTAATTTGTTAATCTTCAGTATAGTATTATAAAGCTTTATCAAGATTACCTCTTTTAATATAATAATTGCAAACTAAAGATTTATGAAATTAAGCAATCAATTAAATTTATTTATCATAAGGAGAATCATCAGATAATTTAAGAATATTAGCCAAAATAAAAGTACTTAATACTTTATTTTAATTCCAATTTTTTACATTACATAATTCAATTATTTTATTTGTATTATCATTATTAGTAGCAAATATTAAATATTGATATGGATCTTCAATTGGTTAATCCCATTTTAATCTATTAATTGCAATCTGAATAGATAATGGTAAACCTTATTCTTTAGTTGGTCTATTCTTAATGATTTATAAAATAGCTTTATTAATTTTTAAAATATTGAGTTATGATGGTGTAAATTTATAATCTGATGATAATGCTTCTTCTACTCTTTTCAATGAATCATGATGTGGATGTATATATTCTTAAAATACTGCCAAATTATTCAATAATACTGCTTATTCTGAAGTCTTTTCTAAAATTTCATATCTATAAATTAGATAGATAATTATTACTATTTAACTTTGCTTTTGTAATCTCCTGGATTTATTACATCTAAAATTAATTAAGCTAAAAATAGATCCTCATCTTATTCATTCTCAACTTTTACCATATTTTCAAATCTAATAGTTAACTCTTTTGCTGTTTTTAAACTAAAGTTTTATTATAAATTATAAAATTTTACTCATTTAATTATAAATTAAGTAAAGCATGGTTAAGTAATAATTCTCTGGCATATTGATTTTTATTCTTTTTTATAAATTCTGTTATTTATAAATTAATTTATTTCATTTAATTCTCCTCATTTTATTAAATAGCAGCATTAGCAATATTTGTTAAAATATCTTAAGAGTCCTTTTGAAATTTGCTCTTGATTATTAACACATAATAATACATCTTTAAGTAATTTCTAAAATAATTAAATTGCTTATTCAAATTCCCCTAACTTTAAATATGCCTATCCCATTAATAATTGATCTTCTGGTATATTTTTTCTAGATTCTGTAATAACTTATTGATATTATCCTTCAACATAAAGTAAATATAATCTTGTAAATGAATAAAGTGGATGATCCTTCAATCCTTTCAAAAGTTATGAGGCTTCTTAATAATTCTTATTATTTATTAACAAGATTGCTTTTGTTAATTAGATGTTTGGTGTTTATTCACATTGATTTGCTACTTCTAACAATTAAGCAGCTGATCCTGTATGTAATTCTTCAATTAACCTTTGTATTGGAGTTCTTTAGTCCATAAACACGTGTTTACTAAAATTTAATAATAAAAATATGGGAGAAGAATTAATTTTGAAAATTTTAGATGTAAATCCCTTAACTTCATTATCAGGTGTTGGTAATATTATAAAGCCTACAGGAGAATGGTTAACAAAAGAAAGAGAAACAAAAATCTTGATAGATTTTGGAAACGCTATAATTACTCAAATATCTATATGTATTTAAATTTAACTTAATTAGAATAGAGAACTTTAATGCAGATCAAGTTAATATAACATTAAAAGGAGAAAATTGTGATGATCTTTATTATGAAAAAGTAATTTGGAAGAAAAATGCTGATTGGAATGAAAAATGTAGTTTTGAAATAGAATCAGATTCATAAGAAGTATTCTATTAAATGATGGTTGAAGTCTTAAATTATGGTTAAGAAATTTATAAAGGTTTAAAAAGAATTAGGGTTTTTGGAATTTAAGATGAGTAATTGTATAATGAGAGGAAAAATAATGTGAAATAATTGAATAAGTAATCTAAGAATAAATAATAACATAAAGGAGATTCATAAGAGAGGAATGATTAAAAAGAGAAGTAATAAAAAATTAAAATAACTGAATCCTCTATCAAAAAAAATAATTAATGGGGATAATATAATAAAGTTTAAAATCAAAATACTAAAGAATTTGTATTTATAGATCCTAGAGAGAAATTGAGGAATATTCATAAAAGTCCATCACCTATTAAAGAAGAAATTATGTAATTTAATTAAAATAATGTTCAAACACCTAAATAATTAGAGTCATCTATAAAACATGGGTGTAGTATTAATGAAAGAAATATGATTAAATACAATCTTAATCAAATTGATAAATAATTTTTAGAGTTACATTAAGAATGTAATAATTCTATTTTTAATTTAATTTATAGTATAAAAAAGCTCTGGTATTGGGAAAGAAATGTAACTAAATTTTGCTAATTTTGAAGTCTACTGGCTTTAATGAAATTTGAATATTAATTAGTGTTTTTTATTATTTTAAGTAATTATTAAATAGAGGTATCATGCACCTAACTCATTGAAAGCTTTTACAGATTTAAAAAGTTAAGACACTTCATTAACTCTGGTAAACTCTATGCAAAATGCTTGTAGCTTTTGTACTTATAAAAAGCTTACTTCAGTTAGAAGATCTTTGGTTACAATTGCCTTTGTTTTTAAAAAGTGTCGAATGAAAATGCTGACATATTTAACTATTTTAGTTTATGTTTATTTTTCCTATTTGATTGTATAATATAATTTACTTTAATATTATTACAATATTAAATACAATAATACACATAATATGTAACGAAATCAGGAGGTATTTTCATTGAATAATTTATCATAGCAATTAATTCAATAGTAGCAGGAGTGACATCAATATTTATAAATACATCCAAATAACTTAAATTATTAAATAATTTACTCTTAGAAATCAGAAGACTTCACATTTTTCATTAAGAAAAAAAGTACAAGGTTTGCATTATTCTCTATTAAATCAGGTAATTTTTAAGTTGTAAATCCACAATTCTTCAATAAATATTCATCATTTTCTAAAAAGTCTTAAATCAACTATGCTAAAAATATTTTATACTTTGTATTCTTAATCACTGACTTAAGTGCAACAAGCTTTCTATACAATTTCTTTTACTTAACTCAATTTATCGCTATTTATTTAAAGAGTGTAATTCCATTATATATTATTAAGCATACTAATCTCATTCCAATATAAAGTATTTGCATTTACAAGATTAGGAATTGGTCTTAAATGATCAATTGAAAATTAGTCAGAATCCAAGTTAAGCATCTTTATTTTATCCATTAGAAAAAATATAAAATAATAATAATTAAAATATATATATATATTCATCAGGGTATGTATGATTATTATACCGAAACATTTGAAAATTCATTAACACTTACATTCAAATTTGAAACCAATTTCCAACCATCCAAATTCACACTTTATTTAGTTTATTATTCTTAAATGTGTATTGGGATTTAACATACAACAGGTACAGATAACCAAGTCAGGAATGAATCCTAATATTATAAATTTTAATTACAACTATTGCCTCTAATTAAAAATAATATTAATTCTTAATTGTATTTGTCTTCAGTGATGCTTTTAATTCTTTTGGTAATTCCAAAAGTGATACTATTCTATCTTTACTTTAACCTGCTAATAGACCATCCCAATTTTATTAAACAACTACTTAATCTTCTATTATTCTTTCTACATCATCGTTATCAATGAAAATCAATTTATTAATTACTCTAACTTCTATTCTATTAATTGGTCTCTATGATCGTGTATTATCAACAGAGTATTCAACAGATATTTTATCCCCAGGGAAAAATTTGTTAGTCTTTAATTTCACTGACAATTCAACGGCTCCACTATTCAAACAAAGAAAATGAACTATATTTCCTTCTAACTATCTGAACTATTCACTTTCTTTAAATCTACTATTGAGATAAACATCAGCACTTTCCATCATCACAGTTCTGGCTTCCTCTGTAGAATCTATTTTTAAAGTAATCATATATCCACATTTTCCTTATTTCTACCCTTTTAATTATTTTAGTCATAAATACCATCAGCACTTTTATAATAGAAACTTGAGGGCATATTAAATTAGGTTGGAATAACAAAATTGAATTTATAATCTCCAGCCTTAACACTACCATTATAAAGTTCCTAAGTGTAAATAAAAGACTCATGAGTTCCATAATGTCTAAATACTCTATATAAAAGGTTTCCATTTAACTCATATTTCTTTTGTGTATATTTTAGTTATTTTAATGGAGAATCCAGAGTAATTTACACTTACATCTATTTTTCAATTAGCTTATCAGGTATCATCTAAGGATTGCTTTCATCATAAGGAATCTATTTTGATCACTTAAACGTTTACTTGTTTTTTCTCTAAAACCTTCGAATATTCTTTAGTTTAGAAAGTCAAAACAATTTAGACTTTAGGCATATCTTAAGGTATTCTAACATAACAACAACCTGTTATTTATTCACCAGCAAGAGTGACGGCGTCATTAAATTAAAATAAAATTGATTTGCTCATTAGAAATATAAATATTTTTTAGATACAATTAATCAAGTTTTTAATTAAGTTCTGATGTGCATATAAAAAACTTCATTAAATAAACAATATCAAATTAAATTTTATATCATTTGTAACTTTTTCTTAATTCCTTCATTTTTCAAATACATAGACAAGTTCTCAAAATAAATTCTTCTTAAATTTATATATATATTAAATTATTAAACAATTTACACACTGAAAACATTATTTTTCATTAAAATGTTTAAATTAATAATAAAATTCTTGTTTTCTTTCTTAATGTAATTATTCTTTAATAAATGTAATATTTATTTGTCATTACATGAATAATTTATGATAATTTTAGAAATGAGAATATTTTATTAATTATTTTAATTAAATTATCAATGTCTAAAACACTTACAATTGAATAAATTTTCAGCAATACTAATTTAGAAATAGATAATGATTACATCTTTAACAATTTTATTTCTTCAAATTAATAGGATCGTAAAGAATTTGATTTATCTAAAAATCCATAGCAATCACTTTGTGGAGCACATGTTTCTCCTTAAAATATTTCATTTTAATGTTTTGATTGTGCTCCTGATCCTCATCATATGTATTGTGGAAATTGTTTTTAATTGGAATTACATTAAAGTATAATTTTATGTATTATAGAATAGATCATAGAGCATTTTTTAAGAAAGAAGCTAGTGGATGTTGTGATTGTGGGGATCCTTCTGCAATTGCTAATAAAGAATCATTTTGCAAATTACATAAAGAGTAAGTTATAGACATTGCAAAGGAAATTTAGAAAGTGAAACCTGATATAAGAGAGAAAATATTAAATTTCTTATAAGAATCATTTAAAATTTATTTTTCAAAATGTGAATAAGCTACTAGTTTATTATCCAATATACCTAATCCATTTTTAATTCAATGTTGTCACATTAGTCACATAATAAAATATAAGTAGGTTTATAAATTAATAAATAATAAATACAATATAAAAAATGCTTATCAATCCATATTAGCAGCAAATCATACATAAGATATTATTATAGATTTTTTATCATGGCTTTGTTAAGATAGAACTTCATTTGCTTTATTAATAGCAGGTTTTCTAAAATCTTAATATAGTGTTGGAGTAACTTATTTTGAATAAATTATTCGTTATTCAGAATTAAGTAATGTTTTAGATTTGGAAACTGACCATAAATTTGAGAAATTGCTTTATGTTTTGAATATTGATGAAAAATTTAGGTTGTTTACATAAGAAGTATTTTTGAAATAATAGAATGATTTATGGAGAATTTATGAAATTTAATCATTTGATGGAGCTGTAATAGTAGAAGAATACATTTAAGCATTTGAAACTTTCATATAAAGTGGTGTATTTTATACAAAAGAAAAAAATTAACTATAATTATTTGAGAATTATTTTAAGAAAATAGATACTTGTAATGAAAAATATACAGCTTATTCAATTAAAGCTGCTCAATATTTTTCAATGAATTCTTAATTTGTTTCAGAAGAGTTTTAGGATATTTAATTCACTTCCCCAACTATAAAATAAATATTAGATATGAATACAAAATTATTAAATATATTAAATACTTGTCATTTAGGAAACATTAATTCATATTATTTAATGCTAGATTTCTTTTCACTAAAATTTTAATATAACTATTTTATTAAGAGTTTTAACAACACTTTATCCATATTATTTAAAAATTATTAAACCTAGTAATTGTCTATTGAAGAGATTGCTTCATTAAATCCTGATTCATTCTTTTTAACAGCTCTTTTAAAGAGTTATAGTTTTATCAAAGGTTTCTCTAGTAGAGATACACTTTATTAACCACTTATATCAGAGACATAAATATAACTTAATCTATTATATATAGAATCAAGATAAATTTAGATCATAAAATAATGTTTGACAAAATATTTAGCCTCTCCTTAAATTACAATGATGGCTAAATCTAATTTTATTAATATTCTATTTTATTGGTCTTATGAATTTATAAGAACAAATAAAAATAATAAAGAATAATATAATTATTTATCTGAATTTTATCATAATAATAATATTCATAATGTTATACAAAAAGAATAAATGAAAACTATTATTCGATTAAATTATTGTATATATAGAAGTGGATCATTAATTGATAAACTTTTTATCATTCTTTTAACTTATTTATTTTAATAAATTGCATTTTAATCATCAAATTAATTTAAAATGTTTTTATTAACAACTTTAAAATAAAATGAGTAAGATTTATAATTCAATTTATTTAACATCTTTGAAAGATGTGTACACAATTTTATAAGTCTTCTCTATACACCTTTGAATGATTAAGTCTCTAATAGTTATTTTGCCATAAGTAAAGAATAATTAGAATCCTATGATATGGCTTTTATCAAATTTTATTTCATTCTTTATAAAGATGAAGCTTTAAATTAGATGATAGGTATTATCTAATCTAGAAAATACTTTAGTGATTTCAATTAAAATTAATACTTTATGTAATATTGATTCTTTATAATTAGATAAATTATTGCTAGAATTATTGTTTCTGATAAGAGTTTTTCTTGTGTTTGTTAAGCATTGTATAGTTAAACTAATCTACCTGTAAGCTTGTCTTTTACTTTATATTAAATCCTTTCAAATTTATTTATTCTCAATCATTATTAAGAGTTTTCAGAAATTAAATCAACTTTTGAATAAGCTTCTTTTTCTACTGTTAATTTAGAATAATTCATATTAAATTTTTGTGAATTGGATGAAAATATTAATAAGTTAAAATTAAAGACTCATTAATAGATTTTAGAATATTTTCAAATATAATCATAAAATTAAATAGATCGTACAAATAATCGTACTTATTTTAATCCCTTATTATTTTTAAATAATTCATCAATAGCTTAATAAATTGGAGAACATTTAAGTTCATAAAAACGAGAAGAATATTTTATTAAATTTGGAAATTCTATTGAATAGCTTATAGAATTTGATTAATTAAAAGGAGTGAATTTGGAATTAATGGAGTTTTTTGCATAAAATAAAAATGTTGACTTAATAATTTCATAAATTTAACCATAAGCTAATTCATCAACTGAAATCAAATTAATTGAAAGATTATTAAGCATAAATGTATATTTAAAAAAAGATAATAAATAAATTTGTGAATCTTTAAAATAATTATAAATGAATAAATAATAAGATTAATAAAGTTTATAATTTATTTTAAATAAATTTGGAAATTCAAATTAAATTTTGGAAGAAGAAGTAGAAGTATTATAAATTAAATCTTCATAAAATCTTAAAATGAATAAAATGAAAGCTAAATTTTAATAAAAAATTTAATAATTTTAATAAAATGATATTGTTTAATTAGATGATTAAACAAAATAAAATGAAAAATATGATACTTGTGCATTATGTAGATAAGATTTAGATGAAAATTAATATTGTTGTATTCCAATTTTGATTTAAGCAAATCCTTATTTAAAACATTTTCCCATTTATCCACCTGATGTTAGAAATGAAATAATGAAAGATTAATTAAATTTATTGAAAATTTCAATAATTAGCTGTAAACATAAATTTCATGATAAATGTTTAATTGCTTCTTATTCATGTTCTTAAAAATAAAAACTTCTACCTTTATGGTTTTAATTATAATGTCCAGTTTGTAAATCAACAAGTGAAACTAGATTATCAATAAATAAAAATAAAACTGTTGAATAATATGATGAATTTAATAATTGGTTATTATTGTAATGTTAAAACTTTGGGATTAAAAATTATCTAATAGAAAAATATGGAGAATCTGTTAAACTTAAATTAAAAGAAATTTATCTATCCTTATTATGTGATTTATTAATGTAATTATTTATGGATTCTTAAGAATTTATCAGACAAGATAAACATATTGTATTTATTAATATATTAGATTATTTATTCTAAATAAGTAAAAATATCACAATTAATCATTTTGAATTTTAAAATTAATAATCAATATTCCTAAATCTAATAAACCTAATAATAGAGTTAATAATATAAAATAATCATTAATAAAAATCTCTAAATGATTTTCTTTAGGATAATTAGGATTAAATAAAATCTAAAATCTTTTAATTTGATTTACCATTATAAATAATAAATCAATTAATAAAATGTTTTGCATTAAATACTGAATAATAATAAAATTAAATCATATAAGTTAACTAATATATACAATAATAATTTAATAGAAGTGCTATGATAGATTTTGTAAAAAATAAAATTACTGAAAATTTGGGATTTAAGTTTAAATCATTTTATGATAATTATTTTAATAAACCTTGCTGCTTTTGTAAAGGTTTTTCGAATGCATCAAAAAGTTCTGATTAATTTATATGTTTACTATGTTGTGAAAAAGTTTGTGATGTAGAATGCAAAGTAATATTTTATTATAATTTAAGAAATTGTTTTCAAAATCTGGAAATATGAATGTTCATGCTTAAATAAACCATTAAGGAAATACTATATTTGTGAGTCTTAAGACAGGTCAACTTGCATTGTTATCTACACCACTAACTTGTTTTGGATACAAAAATTTATATCAAAATAAATTTGGATAATTAATAAAAATAACCAATATAGACACATAATGGGAAGAATATTATATTAATAATAAAGTCTTAACTGATGTAGCTGAAATCATTATATCAAATTCACTTAAGTAAATAATTAAAAATTAAGAGTTAAATTATAATCAATTAGACGTAAGGGGATTCTTTTGAGATATTCTCTTATATATTATATATATTAATGTAATGAATTAATTATATAAATCTAATTTTATGAATATTTCATTTTAATTTTAATCCTTCTTTTAGTTACTACACTTCTATTTCTGGTAATTTTCCCTTTAAGAATTAGTCTTATAAATTTCTGATAATTTTTTGTAAACTTGTTGATTCTTCAATTTATTATTCATAATTATCAACATCCATTAATTCTTCATGGATTTTGACATTTTTCTAAATTAATTGATTAATTTATGTTTCTTTTTATTATAATCCAATATTATAATGGCCAGGTTTAATTAATAATATAATTTTTTAATTTTCTCTATTTCCATATTAACGAATATTAAACTCTTTATTCTAAAAGAAAATTAGTTCCACAAATCTTAAATAAATAAAAAATAATTATTTACATGTTCAAATTTCTTGCTAATTCTGCAATAACAGCTTCATTATTATTACATTCCTATTCCCATAGTAATAGATTTTATTTATCATTAATTGCTTCTTTTATCTCACTATTTTCAATAATATAATCTGAATAATTTCTAAAGAATATAGTAGATAAACCATATAAACAACTATCAATTTCATCTGATTCATATTGATAGGTAGAATATTATTTAAAAAAATTTTATTATCTTTAATTGATATCTTTAGTTTTTTTTAATTTAATTAATCTTTAAAGAAAATCTTGCAATAATAACTTTTCTGTTTCTTTATCATCAATCTTAAAATCTATCTCCTCAACAAATATCTTCATTGATAAATCAATTTATTTGATTTTCTCTATAAACTATAAAAATTAATCAAAAGAATAATGAAATAGTAAAATTTATAAAAATTAATATCCAAATGCTGTATAAAAACAATTACCATCTCCTCTTACCTCTCTAAATGCATTGCAATGTTTATCTAATAAACTGGAATTTTAAAGATCTAAATTATAGTTCTTTCTTAGTCCCTATTTATCTTAAATTTATCTGACATAATATTTGAATTCACCTTCCACTTATCTTTTTTAACTAGTATTTTCATAAAGTTTTATAATGATCTCTCTTACCTTTTATTAATTCTCTTAACTATTAACATAAAGATATTCAAAATTTTATTCAAATTTTTATAAGTCTTCTTCATATTTAGTTTCATAATTTTATACTAAAATCTTTATATAAGATAACATTGTATACTTTTATATCTTCTATTTTTTCAATTATTGGAAAGCATTTACATTATTTTTTAATACCTTCTAATTTATTATCAAATTCGTTTTTTTAATTTTTTTGATTTTCTTGTTAATCCTGTTGGGCCTATTTATTGTTTTAGAGTTTTTCTTGATTTTAATTCTAATTCTAATTTTATTGTATAGGATTTTCTTGTTAACCTTCGTTTATATATTTTTTTTATAACAATCTATTATTTATAGATAGAGAAATTCTTACGGCGTATTTTCATCTTATTATTAAATCTCTAATGCTACATGGAAACAATTTGGACTATTTAAGTCTTATTCTTTTATCAGTTTCTATCCTTATAGACTTTTAATTTTAAAAATGGTATAAATTTGTATCATAAGTGTAATCATGGTTATAATAGTCGTTATTGGTAAAATAATTATAGCCAATTCTTATAGATAACCATACATTGCTGCTAAATCCATTATAAAATAAAAATAAAAATAAAAATTTGTTTTTCTATAATATAATTTAAAAGTCTCAATTGTTTTTGATAATTAAATTAAATAAGAAATATTAAGAATCTAAATTATTTAATTTAGCTTTATAAAATGGAAATAAAATAACAGTTCCAACTTGTAATTGATTGATATATTGATTCAAAAAAAATTTGAAGAAAATTGTTCAAGTTTAGTTTTTGAATTAAAATTTACTAATTTTAATAGCTTTTAATTATTTTAAAGATAAGCTTGGCTTGTTTATTAAATAAAATAATAATAAGTTAGTAGAATATATAAATGTCAATCAAAATATCAATTTGTAAAATATTAGAATTATAGTTATTACATCTTTTTTATTTATTAATATGAAAATTAATAAAATTTAATTAAATTTGATATTAGTTTACTTATAATATATATATTATTAATATCAATTTTTGGATGAGTTCATTTTAAAGATTTTTCTAATTGTTTTTTCCATGCAATTTCAATATCTGCTCTGGCCATTTTTAATTAGCCTATTTCAAATATGTTTTTGTAATCAGTTTAACCTTCTATAAAACCTATTAATTATATAATTTATCTTCCTTCTTCATATTAAAGTATATTTAGATTAACAGTTTTATTAGATTTTTGAATAGTTCTGAATTTATCTTCATTTGAATTCTCAATAATATTTGTGATTAACTTTAAAAATAGATTATGAGAACTCTGTAATAATTATTAAGATTTTATCTTTTTTAACCAACTATCATATAGATTGATTATTTCTTATTCTCTACTCAATTGAATTATTTCCTATTATTATTTTTATTTATTATTATCTTACTTTTGTAATTATTATGTTAATTATTCTGGTTTAACGTATAGTGATCTTAATTATTCATTATATTTTTAGATATCCTCAGGATATATTAATAATCCTCTTGCCATATATTATTCAATTGTAAATCTTGCACTTTTCATTCCTTATGGCTCTTTACTTGAATAAATCAAAACAACATTACTGCCCATTTATTATAAATTCTACAAATAAGGAATCAACTCCTTTACTAATTGTTGGGTATTAAATTATCCAGAAGGTTATTATATAAGATTATAACATGTTACTTTGTATAAATTTTCTTCTAATTTTTTTATTTCACTAAAATTGACCCATTAATAAAGAAATATTAGATTTCTAATTTAAAGATTTCTATTATAGAGACTAATTTAATTCCTTTTCATAAGTATTTCAAAAGCATCTTCACTATGCAAATAGATTCTAAAAGTATCATCTCCTCTTTTGGTAGCATCTGAAACATCTTTATAATCAAATAATAATAATGGATAATAACTATTCAAAATATTAATCTCACTCAACATTTAATATTGATCCATAAAAATATTAAGAGGTTTTGTGAAACTATATATTTATTTAATTTTCACATTTATTTCTTTAAAAACATTTAAAACAGATTCTACCTTCTCTCCATAATCTCTAAATACCCATAGATTTTTAAAATCAAATAAAAATTTGTATTATTTTTTATCTTCAATTATTTTATCAGGTCTGCTAACATCGATTGGAGTGAATCCATATTCAAAAAAGTTAGTTTTGGCTTTTTCAGAGTATAAGAAAACTCCCTGATAATCCAAATCTTTTTAAACTTACTTTTGCTAATTTACACCTAATCTAACAATAAAATTATAAGCCATCGATTCAGTTACTTCTATGATTTGAATCTATTCAAAGTATTTTAAAACATAAGGAAATCCCATACCTAATTTTGGTTTTGGCATGGGATATTGTTCTAACAATATTTAGCTTGCATTTTATGAAATGTCAACTATTTAAGGTTAATGAACATCTTTTAATTTTGCTGTTTAACACATTCCCATTATAATTTAATAAATAATAATATTAAATCCTCATTCTAGAAATAATTATATTTAATATTATCATAATAATGAATCAATTGATCAAATCATGTGTAAATCATTAATACATATGTATTAATATATTCTAAAATAAATAAATTGTAAAATTAATTCATTCATGTTTATATTGTATATAAAAATAACATAAAATATATAAAGATTGATTTCATTAATTCAAAGATATTAATTTAATAGAGGATGATTTTTGAAACATTTTAGTTTTTCTTTGTTTCTTAAAAAAATTATACATGCTTTAAACCTAAGAATGTTCGGTTTTGCATATTCTTTTTTATGAGTATTAATCGGTATTCTATCTCACAATAAATTGTTATATAGGTCTCTTCATGAACATATCAAAACTTCCTAATGATGAATGTTTTTTCTTCAATTAACTAGGTGGTTCTCTTGATGTCTAACTTTCATTAACTGTATTTGCCTTTTCTATTTATAATAGTTGAGGTAATCTATCAATTATATTCCTACTGCGAAATATGGAAATGCGAGGTCTTGAAAGTCTCTACATTTTTCTTCTTTAAGGGTTGTAACGAAAGTATGTAAGTAAAAGGCATACAGCCAATACTAATTTTCTAAATCTTTTTCTTATTAGAAACCTATGCATTTTAATTTCAATAGTTCCTCTAGACATCAGCCTTTTAAATTTTAAGCCTGTATCTCCAAATATTGAACCTTCTGTACTTTTAGCTCTTTAATGAGATTCAATTTGTTATTGTGGTTATTCATCATATGATCGATTCAACTAATTCTTAAAAAGAGAACGTGTATAATGTTTACGATTTGGCTTAAAATTAAGTAGTGATTTCAGTTAAGGATCAAAATGAACTATTTTTTCTATTTACAAACGAATGGCTTGCATTTTTAAATCATTCATATATTCTTCACGATTCCTCACTGCTATCGGTCGAATATTAAGAGTAAATATTCCATTTCGTTTTAGTGTTACTTTTCTCTTCATACAAACAGCAAAATTTTGTTTATTATTTTAATTCTAATATTAAAAGAAATCTTGAATTATTATAATGAATTTAACATAACCAAATTAATATTTTAACAATATATTTATTATGTTCTATTTATTCTAAGTTATAATATGTCTCAAAACATCTAATTAATATTTTAATAAATATAAATAATAAATAAACATCTTATTACAATTTGATCTACTCATATTTATAATTTTTAAGTTTTCTAGAAAATCTAAAATGTATAATACTTTGCTATAATATATTATAACTATTATATATTATATGGAATAGTAAAATTTTATTCTTTACAAATTTACATAACAAATAATTCTTCAATAATTTGCCTATATAAACATAAGAAACTTTAAATAAGACATTAATACAAAAAGAATTTTTGTTTATTATATATATGCATGTTAAAATAAATCAGAAATAAAGATTAAATATATATATAAAAAATATAATGGATGGACATCTTGAGATCGAAGCATAAAAACTTAATATATCAGGTTACTACCTTGTCTATATCTCATAGATAATATGGAAAATGAAGCCATGGGAGATGTGGAGAAATATTTTTAATCTTCTCATGCAAATAGGAAAGAGTTGCCTGTGATTCGAGTATTTGAAGATTCATGTTCGGATTTACCATAATCAGATCAACCTTTCGAAAATCCAGGGGAATCCATTTTCGATGATTTAGGTCTTGAAAAACTATAAATTTAATCTGTTTAATCTGTACACAGTGATGGAAGAGCAACCTCTTGGAGCCATACTGATGATAACAATTCTTTGAATAAACAATATCTTAAAAGACCTAGAACAAGACAATAATTAAGCAACAAAATTGTGGAGAGTAATTAGGATCTCTTTAATGTACACTATGCTAAAAGTTTATATACAAGCAAAATTAGTTAATTGGTTGATAAAAAGATTACAACTAATCCAAAATCAAATCGAATTTCGTAATTTCATAAATATTATTCTAAATAGAAAGAGTCAATAGAAAATAAAAAGAAAGTCTTCACATTAACTTATTGAAACATCAGATTAATCTGAATAAAAAAGCTCACTTTAATCAGGAGGTGAGATGTCAGAGGACAAATTAGCAAAAAATAGAGTTGCGGCTCGAAATTCAAGAGCAAGAAAGAGACTTTATTTTGAGTTATTAGAAAATAAAGTAAAGGATTTGTAAGATGAAATTGATAGATTAAATGAAGTTTGTTAGAATTAAGCAAAATAAATACAAAAATATAGAGAGTGTTAAGAAAATGTATAAATATTTAAAAATTATCAAAGTATTAGTTCTAATTAGAGACCTAGAAAAAATTAATAGAATAGTTAGAAGTATGTTAAATCAAGGATTAAGATTTAGAGACAACAAAATTTGTATTAGAACAAATGAAAGAATGTTAATTAAATTCTGATAAGAATATGGTTGGAAATTAATATATAGAAAATCTATTAGAGATTTTATTACCCATAGAATTAAAATATATTGTATATAGTTATGATCAAAATAAAGATTTGTTATCAGATTTTTAAGGGTATAATATTTAAATAGATATTTAGTTCTTTTTTTGAATGGACCAAAGAAACATATTAGATAATGGATGTTAAACAAGAATAATTGAGAAAGATTAGAAAATAAAAGGAGAAGCTAAATTGTATTAAAAAAACTATAACAAGGTATTAATATTTATTATTTATTTTAGTTGTATAAATAATCTTTACACTTCAGTAAAGATGATAATTAGTGAAACTTAAAAGGTTGATTCTATTTGGAAGTGTATTTATGAGACATTGGAACCATTATAATTGAGATCTTTGTTATTAACAATTTATTAAGTAAGAGTGAATATAGATTATTTTTAGAATTAACATAGACCAGTTTTTGATTGTAGTAATTTATTTAGCGATTGTAAATATTTCAAATAAAATCCATAAGTATTTAATTTAGATATATTATTAGAGTTAAACTGATGCAAACTGTTAACGGCCTGCAAATCTAAGATAATATGTAAAAAAAAATAATTGATTAATGATATATATATATATATTTAGACTAATAATTTATGTGTGATCCTATAATTAGTGAGCAATATTATTTCAATGAGTAATTCAGTATATTCATTTCATTATAGTTATTGTGATGTCAATGCCAATCAAATTGATTTTTCATAAGGAACAGATCCATTTTAAAAAAATTAACAATAATAACAATCAGAATTCCCTAAAATCTAAATTTTTGAAGATGCTGACAATGGCAATAATAATTTTAGAGTAAACTAAATTTAGATTGAAGAAATTAAAATGGATAGGCTTAAGATTATTAATGATAGCTCTGTTGAAGCTTAACCAAAAAGTGGAAGTGAAGGTGATTATTCTAGAGATGCTAGTTAGAATCATTAAAATAGTAGAAGATCAAGTATTTTTATCTTTTCAATATAGAAAAATACACAAAAGAAGAATAAAAAAATTTAAAAGATTCATTGCAATCCTAGATTATAATGAATATGGGATATAATAAGAGCACTTATAAAAATAAAATTCAAAATCTGGTTAAGAAAGAGACCAATAGCCATTTAATGGTAACAAAAAAAATTAGATAATCGTATTGAAATATTTTGATTCATTTTTAGAAAGAGTTAATAGAAGTTAGAAAGAAAGAATGAATAACAATTATTATTGAATCTTGAACATAGTGATTAGTCATCATCAGAAAATCCTGATTCATTTAATGATGGAATTACAGATCCTAATCGTCTTAAATAAGTTAGAAATAGAGAATCAGCCAGAAATTCAAGAGCTAGAAAAAAAATATATTTTGAATTATTGGAGACTAGAGTACAAGAATTATAGGATGAAAATGATAAATTAAGAGAATAATGTAATTGTTTATTAAAATCGATTGAAAATTATAATAAATAATAGGATAAGGTAAATATAAATATAGAAATGTATAGTATTCATAATTCTTAGAATAATAATAACAATTATTTAATAGATTAGAAGATTGTATTAATTAAGGGAAAGATGTTACAGAGATTGAGATATTATTGGATGCACTTAAATATAGAACATCATCAAATAAATAGGAGAGAATAGATGCTGCAAAATCATACTTATATTAAATATTAAATGTTTGTTTGCCATTATAGACAAAATATCTGTTCAGTATATTAGATGATAAAGATTTCTTTTCTTAAAATTCTAGGTACATTTAAATATATTAAAGAAATTACACAGATTATTTGAAAGATTTGTTTAAGAATATTGTTATTACAAAAACAAATGATTATGGAAATAATGAAAAAATTAAATAAAAATTAGGATAATCAAAACAGAATATGTATGAGTAATAAATTTGATTTTATATATGAATAAAGTTCATTTAAGAAGATAAAGAAGGAGATTAAATTCATATAGAATGAAGCAGGAAAGGTTGATTTATTATGGGAATAGTTGAAAGAGAAATTGTAACCTTAAATCTTGGCTTAATGTTTATTAATTTTACATAAGGTATGAATTTTAATAATAAATATATATAGAATGAATTTAGAGCTGAGTTCTAAGCATCAAGTATATTTAAGAGAGTGAATGACTAAGGAGCAATGTTAATTGAATAATAATAATAATTGTTGTAAAGAAAATAAGTAAAAAAATGTAATTGATTTTAATCTGTTAATATTAATCATTCTATTGTTTTATTTTGGAAACTGAAAATCTTATATTTGCTTTATTGAAATGAAGGTTTTGATAGATCAGAACTTATTCTTAAAGAACTTTATTTTTTAGATAAACTAGATTAGCTGGCATTTAATAATGGATGATTCAGTGTAGGAGTTTGATCCATTATTGAACATTCTAATTAATTATTGATATTTTCTAATGATACAATATTTAATTAAGCAATTTATTATAGAAATAAATTGATAATAAAATCTAATTGTGTTTTTGTTGCTAAAGTTTTTTCAATTAAAAGCATAGTTTTCTACATTCCAATTTCTGTGATAACATTACGTAGTAATTTTTAGTAATGAGAGATTTAAATATCTTCAAGATTAGGTTGATCTGACAATAATTCTTTTAGATAACAATTCATTAATTGTTCATTTATGATTTCCTATAGTTGATATATTATATACTTCATCTTTTATAAATCCAATATAAACAATTTAACATAATGGAAGACCTCCAACATTAATTTTCTAAATTTCAATTTACCTAAAACAATGATCATTTTTATGTTAAAATGGACTCAAAAAAGAACAAAAATCATTAATCTATATTTTAGATGGTAAAATAATGACTATATTTTCTGAAAGTTAAAATGCTTTTTTTAAGTAGTTTAGAAGTTATTAATCAAGTTGGAAAGAATTGAGAAATTGATATTATATAATAATTGCATCTGCAGTTTCTTATCTATCGAAAAAGGAATTTTAAAATATGTTCTACCTTTATGTTGAGTTATAGTGAAATTATTAAATATTATATTTGGCATTGTCATTTTGATCAATAGAATAGGAATCCACTTAGAATGCATTTAATTAAGCAATTTCAATAGATAATGTTCCAGGTCCAGTTATTGCATCTACTATTAATTGTTTAGTAAATGAAGTTATTCGTTTAGCTAAATATTATGTAACACAATATGGGAGAACTGATATTAATTATTCTTGGGTTATTATTAATTCATGCATATAAGGGAAAATATAAGGAATCAATTCTTATAATTGTGAAAGATTGAGTAATTATCTATCAATGAATATTTAATGTATATCTTTGGATGTGTTTTTAATTTTTTCTCCTTATTTTTTTAGTAGGAAATTATGTAATGTTACTTTAGCTGTACATAAAGAATTTGGCATACCATATAAAGCAAAGGGTGAATTATATTTATCATTTATGATTAGAGGTTGAGTTTATTATTTTTATTTTTTGTTAAAGCAACAGTTTATTTTCTAGAGAAAGTTTTAACAACATGATAACTTGGCTTATTTTTTTTTGTTATTATAGTTCATGAATTAATTTAAATATATATTTCATTATTTAGTTTCTTTTTGTTTACTTTTATTTTTGAGTATGGATGGTGTAGAATTTTTAATTAGTGGAGAAGTTGATTTATAGGATTGCTGTCTTTAAGAGGATCTATCAAAAATCCAAACTTGATTTTATAAACTGAATCTAAGGGTTTTTATGGGTTTACCCTTACTTTCTTCAGTATTCAAGATTTAACCGAGATCATCTTTGTCAGATTCAGGGATTGGAGTATCTGAATCATCACCATCAGTTTTAATGAGTTTCTCACTCAATTATTGTTATGCTTATCCAATACAGCTCATTTGAGCTATTATATTTTGATATTTATTTGATTTATAATATTGTGTAGAATTTACTACTAGATAATAACTAATTATGATTGTGTATATTGATGTATTTTCAAATATATCATTTCATTTCTCTGCTTTTGCAAAATGTTTTTGACATGAAATTAGTAAACAGAAACTGTAAATCAAATAAGGAATCAAAGGACAAGCATTACTTTCCTCAGTAGCACAAGCATAAGTATCTCCAGATACATACATAAGATAATGATGATCCTTTCTATTATCCTAAACTAAAGACTCAATTTCAATATCATACTTTCATTATAAACTCTTGAATTTTCAAGAGTTGTGCCCTTTATAAGTCCATTATATTGAATCAGGAATGTAGCAATACAAGCCCCAATCATGATAGCAACACTTCCAGCATGTCCTAAAATTGATCCAAACATTAATATGATTATTGTGACAAATAATACATTGTATGCAACATATAGCATACTATGAGTAAATTTGAACTTAGTAAATTCAATTATTCTTATATCTTTCAAATAATTCAATTTTCCTTAAGCTTCATCAGATGGTTAGAAAATAAACTATTAATTAATTAATATATCATTATTACATAGCTTTTTGCAACATTAATAATTCCCCATATATTAATACCTCTACATACAAACATAAGACTGAAACCAATGAACAATCCTAAAAATCCTTCATTATGTATAAACAATGAATTCAATGCAGTTGGATATTAATAAAGTTAAGCACCAATAATTCCAATAGATACAAGGAAAGCTGTACCTGCATTAGTAGCTTTAAGGAATACCATATAGTTTTTAGCTTCCCAATAAATTTAAAATATTTTGCCTTAAACATCTGATATGAAATGAGCAAAACATGTTAATTTATATGAATCAGAAGAATTACAACCTATAAAGAATATAACTCCATAAATAATAAATAAAGAGATATAACCAGAGGCTGCAAATAATAATCCAGCAAATCCTTCTATTGAATATACTATTGATATCAATAGGAACATTAGAATAGCTGGAATAGCAGAAAATAAATCTCCCAAATAGTTTGAGTAGATCAAATTCATTGGCAATATACGATCACTTGTTGCTAATCCCTATTTGATCATAATAATTTACCATATTTCTGACATTAGGACATCCATGAGATGTATACCATTCAAATAAACTTATATGAAGTATATTGAATATCAATCCTAATAAATAACACCAACAAGCATGCATAGAGGATTTACCTGCAAAATCAATATCTTTAGTATTTTCACCTTTGAGTGTAAATTTATCAATAAGAAATGAAAATGGAAATGATACATGAATAATAAATGATATCAAAGCAGCTATAATTACTTACCATCTAACATTAAGAGCAGCAAATGATCCAGTCTCTTAATCTGCACACATTGTTTTTAAAAAATAACATATAATAGATCCTAAATATCCAATACATATTAAATAAATAGGTCCCATAATAAAAGCACTTTTATTTTTACTATCCAATATTTCAGAACTATTAATAACAATTTATGATATTGCACAACATAAAAATACAAGTACAAATCCTGTATCTAAATAATTGACAATTGCATTTCCTGCTTATTAGGATACCATATATGCTAATCTAGTTAATTATGATATATTATTATTGCCAACACTTAAATTTAAATCAGCTCTTATTAAACCAAATGAAGCAGTCTTTAATGATCTACACATCATTGATATACCTTCTCTATATATGAATCCTCCCAATATCATTCCCATTAAGAATCCAATCATCAATATTGATACCTTCTCATATTCTTCTTTCTTCATATCTCCTCCCCAAACAGCCACATTAAAGTAATACATTAAGACATACATTCCAAAAAGTAAACTAAACAATAAACTCACTATAGCAAAACCACTTTAATACATATATCCAAAACTCTCCTCCTTTGAAAATTATGACTTTAATATTTTCTACATATAACATACTTATATTAATGCTCTTGTCAACGATTTACTATTTGTCGAAGTGACATAATATGCAAATAACATCACAGTAATAGCACCTATAATTGCATTGAACATAAATGAGAATGGATAATCAATAAACCAAATGTCTACAACCAAAAAAAATAGAAATAGAAGTAGAACCATATACAAAAATTGTGCTAGCCATAATCCACTTATTGATGTTTCTATTAAATCCACAATTCCTGATAAATATTATGGTTCTACTGTTGGCCTATAAGAACTAGGCTAAATATCATCTACTCCTAACAACCCTCTAAGTTGATCACTTACAAAGTCTTATTCATCTTTATATTGCACTGTAAAACCCTATTAATAATGCTATGATTTCTTACTTATGCTATCAAATGCACAAAGTACCATACTATCCCCACTATACAGATTAAAATTATCACTACCAGCGATCCTAACCAACCCATTAATAAAAACGAATAAAAATTAATTTATTATATATGAATAGTAGCTCACCTTTGCAAACTCAATTAACTGAATTATTAAACCACAGCCATAATAACAAAAACTATTTCATTACAAAATCTGGACAATTAATTAAGTGTTATTTAACTCCAAAATAAATTGACTATATGAGACAATTAGATTTATAATCTAATCTAGAAAATCTTAATGAAAAATACATAAATTGCCCTATCAATAAATACAATTATAATATTCATAAGAATTAATCATTTAAAAAATAGACTATAAAAATTAGAGTTAATTGAATATAAAATATTCATTAATTCTAAATAATAAATACTACTTAAATTTTACCAAATTTGAATTCACTATAACATCGGATTATCTTTCAGATTTTCACTCCAATTAATAATTCAAATAAACTTATAAGAAAGTAGTATTTATTATCGAATTTCAACAAAATAATTATCTTAATCTTAGTATTTAGATTCCAATAAAAAGATCAGCAATAAATAATAATGAGATGATCTTTAATTTAAAAAGTTCTTTTTATAAATCTAATAAACTGTTTGAATTATGCGAGAACAAAAAAATAAAAGTAGTTTTATTTTAATCTTAACTCTTTGCATAGACATTAATTAATAGGATGATGATGAAAATTATTTAGATGATATTAATTATTGTATGTTATTGATATAAAATGTATATTATTTCATATATAAAATGCTTTTTAATTGCCTTAATCATGTTATTTTGTTAAAAGGATTTGAATAATTATTTATTAACCTATTCTTTTTGTAAGTTTATTTAAGAATTGAGTATATTTTATGATATATTGGTTATAAATTTTAACGGAAAATAAACATTATTAAATTCTGTTTGTAAAATGAATTACTATTATCCTGCCTATCCAACTCCATAAGCTTCAACTAATTTCATAAATTGTGTTCTTGATTTTGATAGTAAACTCTATATAGGAGATGCTCAAGCATTTTAATATTATCAGAATTATGATGTCAAAGCCATAATATCTTTCTCCACAGAACAAAGTAAACATTCTATTAACTTATTTATTAGATTTCCAAGCTAATTCAGATACCGATCAAATGGTTTTATAAGTTAATGATCGTCCATAATGTGATATATCTGGATATTTTGATAAAACCAATAAATTTATCAACAAACATATGGATGATAATCACAACGTACTTGTCCATTGTGTGGCAGGGAAATCTAGATCTGCCACTATTGTGTTAGCTTATCTAATGTTCTCTTAAGATTGGACCTTATAAGAGGCATTGATTTACTTAAAAAGTGTAAGACCAATAGTTTGTCCCAATCCTGGATTCATTCGATAATTATTGAAATACGAAGAAAAACTATTTGGTAAAGTCAAAAGTAATTTAACTCATGATATTACACCATATTACAATGTTTAAAAGGCAGATACTATAATACCAGAAGGGCCTGCTGTGGGAAGAAATTACTAAGTTGATTAGAATGCTTATAATAGAAGATCTTCCTTTGTTTCACCACCATCTCAACTCATGGGACACTAGCGATCGTATTAGTAATTCTAATATGGATGGAGATATTATTGAACTAATTTAATATGTTTTGCTATTTTACTTAAATGAAAAACAATTATTTATAGTTAACGAAGTTGTTATTAATTTTAATAATTTGTAAATAAAACAAATGGTAAACTCTACAATATTAAGCAACACAAAACAAATAAGAGGATTTAGCTTCTAATTGAAGAAACCAAAAACATAGAAATCAATTTCTATTGCATCTTAAAGAATAAGAAGAGGCTTTTCTTTTGTAGTTGAGTAATGGAAAATTAGTAAATTATAATCACAGCTTTTTTCACAAAACGAATCGCTTATTCAATCATCCATCTCAATGGCTAGTTAAGATATTTCAATTATGAATTCAGAATATAGCATTGCCAAGAAGATTCGTGGTTTCAGTTTTGTTAGGAACAAAAAGCAATTATGAATATGACTAGCATATTATAATCAACTTTTATATTTTTTTATCTAATCCTTAATCATTGAAAAAAATGTATTATTACTTATTTCTAATTTCATATGAATAGTTCTATTAAACAACAAAAATTTTATTATCCTAATCAGACATATAATAAAAATTCTATGAGTGATTCAATAGATAACACTAAATCTTAAGTTGAACACATCATTGAATCATCACTTTCTTTCATAAAGATAATTAAATAGATAAGAAACAATTGTATTTTAAATGAAAAGAATTCAAAAGAATAAATGTGAAATTTTTAGTTGATTTAAATATATTAATTCAAATAAGAGTGATATCAGAATAAAAATTAAATTTCATATATTATCATAAAAACAACTTAATTAAAATGAAATAGTTCTCTTAATTTAAATAGCAATATTTTAATTATTATTATACTAATGTAGAGATAAAATAATCTTTAAGAATCTAAAGAATATTATATTAATTTATGAATAATAATAAAAATGAATCTTTAATTTTAGTTTTAAAACATTTTATAAAAAAAGTTATATGTAAATTGAGAAATTGATTATATTCTTAAGAATTTGTTAATAAAATTATTGATATTTATTAATACAAATAATATATATATATATAAGATGGAGGATGTAACAATTTAAAATTCTCTAGGAATTAATTAGATAGTTAAAGAAACCCTTTGAAAAAAGAACTGAAGATGATTTATTTCCAATAGAAAGGATGGTAAGGAGGATCGAATTCTTTTAAAAATATTTTGCAGATTAAAGTGATCTAAATTTTAGTTATTATTTTGAACATGAATATGCTACATAAAATACATCCATCATTAATATAGATTCAGTTGGAGACAAATTCTATATAATTCTTTAAGGATAAGTAGGAATATATTTTAAGCCAAACGTTATAGAAGATAAGGTGTCATCGACTAAATTATTGGAGAAGGTTAAAATGAGATTTAGATAAGCAGTTAACAATAATAAGTTTAAGGATTATTAAATAAATAAAATTTCATCTCAATAATCAGATTTAGCTTTATTCAAAATCTTATTACCAGGTTAATCTTTTGGTGAAATGTCTTTAATACATAATAGACCAAGAGATTTTACAGCTGTAGCATTATAACCATGTCATTTTGCAGTTTTAAGAAGATAATATTTTAAGGAAGTAGTAAGAATTGGTTAAGAGAAATCTTCAATGAAGGAGATGGGATTTTTTGCAAATTTGGAAATATTTGAGGGTTGGAATGTTAATTCAATCTTATAAGTTTATAAGTTATTGGAATAGAGGAGTTATAGGATGGGTGATGTTGTATATTTATCAGGGGAAATTGCAAATACAATTTATCTGATAAAAGAAGGTGCTGTAGATGTATAGAATGATATGATTTAAGTTATAATAAGTATTTATAGAGGAGAAGGAAGATTTAGAAATAAGGACAGCATCTCCATACATGAAATAGAGAGGTAAGAGTTTGTAAAGGAAGATTGCTACATTGAGTAAACACTAATTTTTGGGTTTAGAAGATGTACATAGTTAAGAATAGAAGCATAGATTTAGTTGTATTAGTAGTAGTTCAGATACAATTCTATTTATAATACCAGTAGAATTGTATATGAAGAAAATTTATAATCAACCTACAAGTTAGTAATATGTTAAAGAATTTATATAAATTTAAAGCAAATATTAAGATTAAAGAGTATTTATATATTATATTTAAAAAGAATTCTTAATTGTAAATAGCTATAAATTCACAAAGATAGTAATAGCAATAGATTTTAGCAAAAATAAATTACTAATAAAATACTGATATGTTGGAATTTTTGTAAAATTTGGATGGAAGATTTAAAACACTTTCATAAGAACCATTAAAGAATTTGCCTAGAAGTTAAATTGGATAGAGATCATAGAATTTTAGTGCACATGAAAAATATATAGATAGAATTTGTTTTACAAGAGCAAAAGATAGATCTTTATTGGGAAAGGTATAAACTTAGAGTCTATATTAAAATTAAGCATATAAATAAGTGATTAATGAATCAAGGGTAATTGAGAAGAATTTACCTAATCTGACATCATTTATTGAGAGGAATTCATCTGGTTTACATCATTCAAAATCAACTTAAGTTAAACATAGAAGAAAGAGTCCATAAAAATAATAATAATTGCAATTTTAGAATGTTTAAACATCTTTGAATGAAGAAGAATAATAATTAGTAACAAAAATTCTTTAGAAGGGAGTATTTTAACCTAGGAAACCTACTTCAGTAAAGAGAGTGAAATCAACAGAGAACTATTCACATAGAAGGACTTTGAGATTCCAAGATTAAACAAAGAATTGAGTATATTTGTAGATGGATTAGTAATTATTAGATATCTATTGTGTATATTCATAGTTAGTTATATATTTGTTTATAATTCTTGTTTCTTTTGTTTAATTTCTATTTAGAAGATCAAAATTAGATGGTAAAGTTGATAATATTTATAAATATTGGAGTTGACATAAAAGAAAGTAGAGAAAGTCAAAGATATGGAATTAAGTCTAAATAAGTTGAATAATAAAAATTTATTAGAATACACTAAGGAATAAATTAAGATAAAAAGAAGATGGAACTAAAGATTTGTATAGAAGGTAGTTTAGATAGATAAAATTCTGTATTGATTTGTAGGAATGATTAATAGAGAGGGGGTGAATTCTTTAGTATATATAGGATTGTAATTAAAGATTTTAGTTATTAATATTTAAATTGTATAAAAACATGAAAGTTGAGACATTTTTATACATTCTGTTAATTTTAGGTTATTTTGGAGTGAGTGGTTAAACAAATTAACCTGGAGGAGTAACGACAACATTATAAACAGACAATTAACCTTTATATCTTTGTGACACAGGTAATAGTAAAGAATATACAATAGGCTTTTTTTTCAATGATTAGATTTGTATGGCTTGCTTAACAGTAACAGGAGGAAAGTGTACTTGTAAAACATATAATGGATGTGATACTCTTACTTGCAATGATGGTTATTATTAAGTTGGATAGTATATTTAATTTAATATAATATAGATCATGCATTACAATTCCAGATAGTAATTGTTTTAGAGGTGGTTTAGCAGCAGATGGAACAAGCATAGTATGTTACTAATGTGTTGCTAATTCTGGTACAACATTAATAGGTATAGTTTATATTTTATATAATAGGTGGAATATGTGTTACTAATAATAATTGCTTAACATTTGATTTAAATACTGGTGTATGTACTAAATGTGCTAATGGATACTATAATGTAATGGCTGAATTTACACCCAGTGAATATTTTGATACAACAGAATCTACTTGGACTTCAACTAATTATCCTCTCTATTTCTAAAATATTAATTAATGTAAAACTTGTAATGCTGATGCTTCATGTAAAAGTTGTAATTTCCTGTAATTATATAAATAATTAATTATTATAGTAAATAATGTACAGAATGCATAGATGGTTATTATTTGACTGGAACTACATGTACTTAATGTATATCTGGATGTTAAAAATGTAGTGATACTTCAACTTGTTCAGTATGTTTGACAAATTATAATTTAACTAATTCTAATACCTGTTTATCATGTAGTACTACCTAATACTTTGATACATAAAATAAAACATGTGGAGAATGTAATACAATTAACAACTGTTTAACATGTAGTAATTCTACTACATGTACTAAATGTTCTGATGGTAATTATGCAGTCAATGGATCATGTGTAACATGTACAGGATTTCCATCAACTTGTTCTGCTTGTGATGCTAATAGCAATTGTATAAGTTGTACTTCAGTTACACCTATGTCAATTTTATAAGGTGGTACATGTAGATAATGTCCTTCTAATTGTTAATCTACTTCAAATTGTTCATATAATACACAAAATAATACTGCCTCATGTTCTTTATGTTAAGATCTTTACTATGTAACATCATAAGGATAATGTGCTAAATGTGATTCAGCTGGTGAACCCAATGCTTTAAGATGTCATTATGATGCAAATGTTTCTGGTAACATTGTATATACATAATGCAAAACCTTATACTTCTTAGCTAATAACAAATGTACTTAAGCTTAATCTAATAACACTTGTGCTAAATTACTAGTTCCAACAGATCAAACTGCTATCAATAATTAAAGTTGTGCTGAATGCTGGCCTGGATNAATTAACCTGGAGGAGTAACGACAACATTATAAACAGACAATTAACCTTTATATCTTTGTGACACAGGTAATAGTAAAGAATATACAATAGGCTTTTTTTTCAATGATTAGATTTGTATGGCTTGCTTAACAGTAACAGGAGGAAAGTGTACTTGTAAAACATATAATGGATGTGATACTCTTACTTGCAATGATGGTTATTATTAAGTTGGATAGTATATTTAATTTAATATAATATAGATCATGCATTACAATTCCAGATAGTAATTGTTTTAGAGGTGGTTTAGCAGCAGATGGAACAAGCATAGTATGTTACTAATGTGTTGCTAATTCTGGTACAACATTAATAGGTATAGTTTATATTTTATATAATAGGTGGAATATGTGTTACTAATAATAATTGCTTAACATTTGATTTAAATACTGGTGTATGTACTAAATGTGCTAATGGATACTATAATGTAATGGCTGAATTTACACCCAGTGAATATTTTGATACAACAGAATCTACTTGGACTTCAACTAATTATCCTCTCTATTTCTAAAATATTAATTAATGTAAAACTTGTAATGCTGATGCTTCATGTAAAAGTTGTAATTTCCTGTAATTATATAAATAATTAATTATTATAGTAAATAATGTACAGAATGCATAGATGGTTATTATTTGACTGGAACTACATGTACTTAATGTATATCTGGATGTTAAAAATGTAGTGATACTTCAACTTGTTCAGTATGTTTGACAAATTATAATTTAACTAATTCTAATACCTGTTTATCATGTAGTACTACCTAATACTTTGATACATAAAATAAAACATGTGGAGAATGTAATACAATTAACAACTGTTTAACATGTAGTAATTCTACTACATGTACTAAATGTTCTGATGGTAATTATGCAGTCAATGGATCATGTGTAACATGTACAGGATTTCCATCAACTTGTTCTGCTTGTGATGCTAATAGCAATTGTATAAGTTGTACTTCAGTTACACCTATGTCAATTTTATAAGGTGGTACATGTAGATAATGTCCTTCAAATTGTTAATCTACTTCAAATTGTTCATATAATACACAAAATAATACTGCCTCATGTTCTTTATGTTAAGATCTTTACTATGTAACATCATAAGGATAATGTGCTAAATGTGATTCAGCTGGTGAACCCAATGCTTTAAGATGTCATTATGATGCAAATGTTTCTGGTAACATTGTATATACATAATGCAAAACCTTATACTTCTTAGCTAATAACAAATGTACTTAAGCTTAATCTAATAACACTTGTGCTAAATTACTAGTTCCAACAGATCAAACTGCTATCAATAATTAAAGTTGTGCTGAATGCTGGCCTGGATTGATTTAAAGTGGTTCAACTTGTTTCTCATGTGATTATTGTCAATCTGGAAGTTGTACATTAAATACAAACAATTAAACATCATGTACTTCATGTGTTGATGGATATTATTCTGATTCAAATCAAAAATGTTAAACCTGTATTTCTAATTGTAGTTCATGTAGTGGACCTGCTATAGGAGATTGTACAAATTGTTAAGCTGGTTATTTCAAAGCAGCCAGTTCATGTACAGCTTGTACTGTTGATAGTAATAATCACACAACTTGTTTGGTTTGTTAAGATGCTACTAATTGTTCTAGTTGTATTAATGGATACTATAATTTGAATGGTTAATGTTTAGCTTGTTAATATGGATGTAGTTAATGTACTTCTCCTGGAAATGTATGTTCAGCATGTATCAATGGATTCTATTTATAAAATGGTGGTTGTGTTTAAGATAATGGAAATTGTTATTCCACTGATAAATTGAATATTTTAGCTACAATTTAATAGAATCAAACAAATGGTTGTTAAATCTGTAATTATGGTTTCTATTTGACAAGTGGATGGTTAACCTAATCAACTTCATCATAAATTTAAGATTTTGTTTGTATGTAATGTGTCTATCCTTAAAATGCTGTAATTTATTTTATTAATATTTTTAGTTTGTTTGTAGAACTAACCCATAAGATGTTTCAATATAAGGTGTTTAAACTACAACAACCACACTTACACCAAGTAGTCAATACTTTTCCAAGGGTGCAATTGTTACTAATATTTCTAATTTTGCCTTATTAGACACTAGATATACTTCTGCTACTTGTGCATCTGGATATTTCTGGACCAATCAAAGTTGTATGCCATGCATGTCTATAAATAACGGTATATGCACATCATGTACTAATCTTACTGCATGTGCTTAAATTACATGCAATTCAGGATATTTCCTTACCACTATCAATAATTCTCAACTCTGTGCTCCCATGCCTTAAGGATGTAGTGAATTAACATTCTCTACAAATCTTCTTGCATTATCTTGTACAAAATGTATTGATGGATATACAATTGTTGGAAACATTTGTATTTCAAATTCTGGATGTTAAACTATCAATTAAAGCAATGGAATTTGTACTTAATGTTAAGAAGGTTATTATTTCAATTGGGACTTTGTTTTGACAACTAGTGCTTAAACTGCTCCCACTACTAACACCAAATATTATACTACATTCAATTAATTCTGTTCATAATGTTAAGCAGGTTGTTAGATTTGCCCATCATAATATACATGTACTTAATGTTTACCAGGATATTTCTGGTACTAATCTACAGTCACAAACAATTAATAAACATTTATTAAGTATAGTTCTAGTTTAACATCAAATATGTCAGGCTAATGTGTTCAATGTCCTAAATATTGTTAGACATGTACTACAGCTACTACTTGTAGTACATGTTACCCCAATTTCTAAGCTGATCCCAATTCAAGTGTTGGAGCTTGTATGTGTCCATCAGGATATACTTTAACAACTTCTGGTTCAACATTTTCATGTATCTAATAAACAACAGTAATTGCAACATGTTAAATTACTGCTTGTTCTTAATGTAATGCTGATAACACATAATGTTTAACTTGTTTATCATCATATTAAGGAAAATCCTATACTTTATCAGGAACAACATGTGTAACTTGCTCATCAAATTGTAGTCAATGTACATTGATGACTGGTAGTACAAGTTAAACTACATGTTAAGTTTGCTAGAATGGATATTATAAAACACAAAGTGCAAATGATCAACCAGTTTTATGTTCTATTTGTTCATAAACAGGTGCTTTATTATGTTAAGGTCCTTTGGAGAATGCTTCCTTTACATAAGTAACAATAATCTAATGTTAAAATAATTATTACTTATATAATGGAGCTTGTGTAGCTGTACCTACAACTGCTACTTGTTATACTGTTTCATCATCAAATGGTAGTACTTGTCAATAATGTTTACCTGGATATACATTATTTGGTAATACATGTTAAACATGTGCCACAAGTAAAAATTTAAATTGTTTGACATGCACTGCAAATGGTGATAATTCTGGATTGTAATGTACTTCATGTTAATCTGGATATGTTATTGATTCTACAAATAATGTTTGTGTTGCATGTTCAAGTGGATGCACTAAATGTACTTTAATTGCAGCAACATAAAATACATAATAAAGTACTTCATGTAGTAATTGTAATGATGGAAATTATTTGGATAATATTACTGGAAGATGTTTTGCTTGTCCATATGATTGTAAAACTTGTGATACAAGATATGTAATTATTATTTTATAATATTATAGACATGTTCAACATGCAAAGATGGATATTATTTGAAATAATCATAAACTACATTAAATGCCAAATAATATACCTTTAAACCATGTTATCCATGTTAATCTAATTGTGCAACATGTACAGGTCCAAATGGAAATGTTTGTTTATCTTGTTCATCTGGATATGTTATGTAAAATGGTGGTTGTGTTAATTTATAATAAACTATCCTAAATGATTAAAACAAATACAATTATGCAAACTGTTATCAACTTGATCCAAATAATAGTGGTTGTCTTAATTGCTAAGCAGGATTCTATTTAGATGCTTAAAAAGTTTGTTAAGAATGTGTTTCTCCATACAATAACGTAAGATACATAAATTAACAATTAGTTTGTTTGTGGTCTAAAAGCAGTAAGTCCAACAAATCCAGTTGGACCAAGTCCTAATCCTACTCCAGGTCCAACTCCAACTGATACCACTATCTAAATTGGTTAAAATCCAGTTCCACCAAGTTCATATTCAATTATGTTGGGAATGCTAATAATCATAGTTTTACAATGAGCATTTTTAGATAATAATAATTATATTTTTAAATCAATTGTATGAATATAAAGATTGTTATTATCTCAATTCTGATTTTAACAACATTTACTTAAACCACAGGATAAGATTGTACTTAATTGAGTTGCATAGCTACTGGTGCACTTAAATAAGAATACACATCAAGAGTACCATATAAGTGTATGGAAGGTATATTAGAATATGATTGATTAAAATAGGATATTATTGGGGAGGACAATCATGTTAACCTTGTAAACCAATATAGGGTGGACATTATGCTTGTACATCTTATTGGGGAACTGGTACATTATATTGTTTACCTGGATGGATAATTCTAAATGGGTAACATAACATATAACATCAATAGGGTTTGTGTAAATATGCCAAATGGATGCTTAACTTACTAGTTAAATAAGGATTAGAATGCTTATATTTGTGGTTCTTGTGATAGTGGATTCACTTTGATAGCTGGAGTGTGTGTAGAAAATTAATAATGTGTTACTTACAGCAGTACTAGATATGTGTGTACTTAATGTTAATAAGGATATTATTTGAATNACAAGTAAAAATTTAAATTGTTTGACATGCACTGCAAATGGTGATAATTCTGGATTATAATGTACTTCATGTTAATCTGGATATGTTATTGATTCTACAAATAATGTTTGTGTTGCATGTTCAAGTGGATGCACTAAATGTACTTTAATTGCAGCAACATAAAATACATAATAAAGTACTTCATGTAGTAATTGTAATGATGGAAATTATTTGGATAATATTACTGGAAGATGTTTTGCTTGTCCATATGATTGTAAAACTTGTGATACAAGATATGTAATTATTATTTTATAATATTATAGACATGTTCAACATGCAAAGATGGATATTATTTGAAATAATCATAAACTACATTAAATGCCAAATAATATACCTTTAAACCATGTTATCCATGTTAATCTAATTGTGCAACATGTACAGGTCCAAATGGAAATGTTTGTTTATCTTGCTCATCTGGATATGTTATGTAAAATGGTGGTTGTGTTAATTTATAATAAACAATCCTAAATGATTAAAACAAATACAATTATGCAAACTGTTATCAACTTGATCCAAATAATAGTGGTTGTCTTAATTGTTAAGCAGGATTCTATTTAGATGCTTAAAAAGTTTGTTAAGAATGTGTTTCTCCATACAATAACGTAAGATATATAAATTAACAATTAGTTTGTTTGTGGTCTAAAAGCAGTAAGTCCAACAAATCCAGTTGGACCAAGTCCTAATCCTACTCCAGGTCCAACTCCAACTGATACCACTATCTAAATTGGTTAAAATCCAGTTCCACCAAGTTCATATTCAATTATGTTGGGAATGCTAATAATCATAGTTTTACAATGAGCATTTTTAGATAATAATAATTATATTTTTAAATCAATTGTATGAATATAAAGATTGTTATTATCTCAATTCTGATTTTAACAACATTTACTTAAACCACAGGATAAGATTGTACTTAATTGAGTTGCATAGCTACTGGTGCACTTAAATAAGAATACACATCAAGAGTACCATATAAGTGTATGGAAGGTATATTAGAATATGATTGATTAAAATAGGATATTATTGGGGAGGACAATCATGTTAACCTTGTAAACCAATATAGGGTGGACATTATGCTTGTACATCTTATTGGGGAACTGGTACATTATATTGTTTACCTGGATGGATAATTCTAAATGGGTAACATAACATATAACATCAATAGGGTTTGTGTAAATATGCCAAATGGATGCTTAACTTACTAGTTAAATAAGGATTAGAATGCTTATATTTGTGGTTCTTGTGATAGTGGATTCACTTTGATAGCTGGAGTGTGTGTAGAAAATTAATAATGTGTTACTTACAGCAGTACTAGATATGTGTGTACTTAATGTTAATAAGGATATTATTTGAATTGGAATTATATACCTAATATATCTTCATCGAGTGATAATTATTATAATTATTTTGGAAGCTTTTGTAATCCTTGTAGTATATTGGGATGTGCAAATTGTCCATCTGAGTAATATTTTCATTTAAATTTAGTAATACATGTACATAATGTAAACCAGGATTCTTTTGGTCATTTAGTGGTTTAACTATTGATTCTACAACATCTGGTTCTGGAACATGTTAAAAATGTTTAGATTATTGTATTAATTGCACAAATTCATCTAATTGTACTTAATGTTCTGATGGATATTATTTGAATACAATAAATAATATAACAACATGTTCATTATGTTCACCTACATCAACTTGTGTGAAATGCAGTAATGCAACAACATGTACTTAATGTTTAAATGGTTATTAATTATTAAATTCAACAACATGTGAGAAATTGTATGATGGTTGTATCTAAATGGATTCTAATAAAAATTGTACATCTTGTTAAAGTAATTATATATTGAATGCTCAAACACCAAAAACTTGTACACAATGTGGAACAGGTTGTTTAACTTGTACATTAAATAATAATATTGCAACTTGTACTACTTGTCAAGAATTTTATTATGCAACTAAAGATTCTAATGGAATTGTAACTTGTGTTGAATGTAAATAATATCCATAATCAATTGGTTGGTTAAGATGTGGAGGTCCATATGATAATCCATCATATACAACTGTTTAAGTAACTTAATGTATTGATGGTTATTTCTTGGTTAATATTACATCCAATAATATTACTACACCTACTTGTATTGCAGCTATTCCTTCATCAGCTTGTTTAACACTTACTACAACATCCACTAATACAAATAATTTCTGTGCTACATGTATACCTAATTTCAATCCATATGTTGATGGAACATGTTTATCTTGTCCTCCTTAATAAGGTGCTAAAACATAACTCTCCAATTAATGTAATAAATGTGGTGGAACTTCTACAACCAATATTTCTTGTGAAGGATGTAATTAAATGTTTTTCCTTTAATCTGCTAATTCAGCTAATTCAGCTACATGTGCTACTTGTTCTAGAGGATGTCTTGAATGTTAATCTAATCTTAATTGTACAAAATGTGATATTGGCTATTATAAGACAGGAGATTCTAATAATTCTACATGTTAATCTTGTATTAAAAATTGTGCTGTATGTACTGATTCTAATGTATTAATTAAAATCTCTATTAGAAATGCACAACTTGTATGGATGGTTATTTTGCTTATAGTGGTTCATAAACTCCTTAGTCTGCTTGTGTAGCTTGTTAATTTGGATGTGCTACATGTAATAATCCTGGAAATTCATGTTAAACTTGTATTGATGGATATGTATTCTAAAATGGTGGTTGTGTTCCTTTAAATTAAGCTAATTGTGCTTTAAAACTTAATTCAACTACAACACCTATTTAAACTTATAATTCAAATGGTTGTAGCATATGTAAATATGGATTTCATATGATTTCTAATCGTTGTTATTAATCAGTTTAACCTTATGCAGGAGTAATAATATATCTTATATTTAGTTTGCTTATATGCAATAAAATGAATAAACAATCATTAATGATAATCAAAAATATGAATTTGTTTTGAAATCAATTATGATAATATTATTATATATAATATTATGAAAATAGATATAAATATACAATATTAATCATTTAAAAAGAGTACTATATAATTCACTTATCTTTAATTCTCCAGATTTAAATGTCTTCTATAATAATTAATCACTTCTCATCTTTCTATGTCTAAATGACAATTATAGTTTGTATAAATTTAATGAATCATTCTATTCAGTTATTATTCTCTTTGGTTCATTATTTTTCTTTAAAGCATCTCCATATAACATTTTTAAATCAGTCAATTAACTCAAATTTATTATCGTCCTTAATTTTATCTATTTGGATCTCACTCTCTTTGTAAAATCCTCTGAAGATTATTTACTATGAATCTTAGCAGATGATAATTAAATTTGAGCACGTTCAATTGGAGAACGTTCTTTTGATTCCTTTGGTGAATTTAAAGGATGTGTATGGGCATTCCTTTTAACAACTCTATCCTCCTTAAATATTTTATCAATCAATTTTTAATTAAAACTAGATAATTTCCTTTCTCTAACAGTTTTTATTATCTTCTTCTCATCCTATTATTGTTCAGGTTCTTAAGATTCCAAAATTTCAGTTTATTATTTTAAACTTTCAAATGGTTTAATTTAAGAAGGACTTCTAATTATTAAAGTTGGAGATTCCAATCCATTTGATTAATAAGTCTTACCCTGTTATAAACAAGTAAAATCTCTACCTATCGTCATTGAAGAAGTCATTAATTTCTTAGAATTACCATTATTCCCTCCACTTATTTTTGTATAATCCCTTTTTATTATTCCTTTTGGGAATAATTTAGAAGGAGCCTAAAGAGTACTCTAACTCTTCCTCAACCAAGGATGACCCAATACTTAATAAGCTGAATACCTTTCATTTGGATCTGGATTTAACATCAATTAAACTAATTCCTTATATTCCTTACTCAAAGATATATTAGGAAATTAGTAATTTAATTTTAAAATATTTTAAACTGTTTACTCTTATAATGGTCTTGTAAATGGTAGAGTACCACAAACAAGAGCAAACAATATTACACCCATTGCCCATATATCTATTGATGGTCGTATCTATTGTATCTATCCTGATAGCACTTCAGGTGGCATGTAACTTAAACTCCCCAAATCTATTTTATCAATTATAAAATTTGTAGCCACTGTAGCAATACCAAAATCTATTATCTTTACCTATTTCTCTGTTTTAGAAGTTAACAAAATATTCTCTAACTTTAAATCTCTGTGAACTAACTTTTAATCATGACAATAACAAATAGCATCTGCAATTTAACGAAATATAATCCTAGCCTCTTCTTCAGAAAGTTTCCCCTTCTCTAAAATAAATACTCTATTATAATTTTACATTAAATATAATCGACTAAATCCCCTCCTTCTAAAAATTCCATTATTAATATCACCTACATACTTGGAAGAGTGTAACAATTAATAATTTTTATAATGTTTTTATGTCTAAGATTTTTCATTACTTCTGCTTCTCTAAATACTAAGTCTATATCAGCTGCATTCCATAATTTCCCTGAATCGATAATTTTAATTGCAACTTATTCTTGAGTCAGTTTATGTTTACCCAACATCACTTTACCAAATCCTCCTTCTCCTAAAGTCTTTATAATCTAATAAACACTGAATTAAGAATAAGCATCAAAATCTCTAGCTAAAAGTTAACTTTATAGAAATAATGAAATTACAATCAGAAACATAAAGTAATGTGCCATCCTTAAGAAACATTAAATCTTCTTCAAATATCTCAACTCCCTATTATGTAAACAATCTAAGTCGATCTAATTCTATTGAATAGAAATGTTCAGCCTTCTTTTTAATATCTTTCATACTGATCTGCTTATTATTAAGCTCATTTTACTAGCGAATACTCCATTGTAATGATCGCACTATTCAAATCTCCATTAAGTGTAAGCAACAACTTTTATTTTCGGTTCTCCTCAAAATAATTATCATAAAGGTCTAACATATTTATAATAATCAAAAATAAAAATTATAACAAACTTATTTAACATATATATTCAATATCTAAAATGTAAATATTTATAAATGGAATTAAATATTTCATATATCATATTTAACAATCTATTATAATAAAAATTATATTTTGAAAAATAAAAAATGTATTATCAAAATTACTAAAATTATTTCTATAGTCTTGAAAAGATTGAGAATAAATTTTAACTATTTTAATATACTACATTATTTAATTTAAATCTCAATTAGATATTTTAGAGTCTTTTTATCATATATCTATTATGTGTTTAATAGATATTATAATAGTATATAAATTTATCATTCTAATATTTTATATATTTATCTGTATTTATATATTTCAATGTGCTTCTTTCTTGCCTGGTAATAACTTAGCCAAAAATCCATGATCATTGCTTTCACCTTCTGGCAATTTGAAGCTCTTCTTAATCTTGTAATAAGGAGGTCCCCAATTCTTTTCCAAATAAATGTCTATGAATGCTTTCTTGAAATTCTTGCACCAATTATAATATCTATATTTATAATTAAATTATTTTACCTTAAAGCAGCCAAAAAGCCTCCATTTGAAAAATAAAGGTTATGCCATGCATTCTCATTGTTATATTTATGACATAAAAATGTTAGAGTATTTTATCCTAACAAAATTGGTACTTTACTATATCCATCATATTCAGCATTTAGTGATTTACCTGCTATGTTTCTTTCGATATTATTTCTAACAACATGAAGTTAATGGAATCCTGCCCAGAAACAATTTGTTGTTGGTACATCATTCACATCACCAAGACCAAATATATTCTTGTATTTATTATGTTATAATGTTTTGATGTTAACATCCAATAATCCCTTTTATGTAGTCAAACCAGCCTTTACTAATTAATCATGAGGTTTAGTGGGTGCAACTGCATATAAATGATTAAATGGTCTAGTTTATCTATTACCAGTTTTAACATCTTCAAAAACTGCTGTATTTTGTTATTTATTCACTTCAACCAATTTCAAACCATATTCTACATTGATATTTCTTTTTTTAATTTCCTCCTTAAAGAATTAATCTCCTGCATCATTATATTAAACAAATCGTTCATTTGGTTAAACTATGGTGAGTCTCTTGATTGGTGATTGACGACCATTTGCAGTTTACCATTCCCATATTCTTTAACTCAATAAAAAATTATAGGATTCCACTTCTCCACTAAATGGGAATTAAGGAATGCAGAAATATGCTTCACCATGATTGAAATTGTAATGCCATCTTGTATATTTATGATTTGATGATCTCCAACTTGGATGATCAAGATTTGTGAAGACTGGAGAATCAAAATCTTACCAAGCTTCTTCAAATCCCTTGATTGCATCATAATTTACCTATTAACCTATAAAAATGTTAACATATATATATTATACCCATAGCCACAACTAATTGACCATAACCAATACGTCTGCCATTTCTCAATATGATGGCATTCTCTTCTGGCAATATTGTTTGGCATCCCACTTAATCTGAGTGAGCTGTATACATATTAAGTGACAATTTGGCATTTAATAAGAAATCTGTCTTTGCTGTCTTCTATTGTTCATAGATTTATCTAATTGGTGTTATTTAATTAATATTCTAATCCAATACTACCATTGTCTTGTATTTTCCATGTGAAACCTAATATATTATTAAAATATCCTAATACCTTATCAAGTTGTCTGCTTAAAACACCTCCCAAATTACATCCAATAATTACAACATCATAATGATCAAGATCTTTTTTTGTAGGCTTACGCTTATTAAACACACCCGCAAAGTAGCGAGGTGTAAGCGAATGCCTTAATTGCATTCCAGATATTAGCATTTTTAAATTAATCAAATAATATATAATAAACTTTCATATTCAAAGATGTTTTGGACAGTCCTTTTCTAAAGTACCATAGATTTGGAAATAAAAAATAAGTCTAGAACTATATAAACTATATTTACTCAATTAATATAATAAATAGATAATTCAAATTGTAATTATTTAAAAATTTCTCAAATATTTGTTAATCTATAATTAAAACTTCAAATGAACTAAATAAACGATAATATTATACTAGTTTAAAATTTATATGAAAGATGAAGCAATTTCTTCTTAAATTCTAAAATAAGGCTGTACAATTTGATAATATTTGTTGTAAATCCTGTTTAGATATTTAATATTTATGTAAATTAATAATATATAATAGATTATTAAAATTTCAGATATCGATACACATACAAAACCTAAAAAAAATTTTTCATCAATTTTTAATATATTATAGAGAAACTAGACTCTTAATTTTATGGGTATTTTTATTAAATAATTTTATTATGAGGATATAAATTAGAAGAGTAAAATAATAAATGTTTAATAATATAAATGTAAAGTGATATTAAAGGATATTAATTATTAGCTGTCGCATAATTATTCAAATAATTAAATTAAAAATACTATGAAAATATGAAGTTGAGGATCAAATATTAACTAAACTGTTAAAAATACTTAAGCTAGCAAAATTAAATATAATAATCAAAGAAATCTAGTTAGATTAAATTAATCTATCTAATTGTAATAATAATAAAGATTAAAATTCATTAGAGTTTAGTAAAATTAAATTGTTAATAATTGTTCATGAAAGTTGTTAATACTTATCAGAATGAAATAAATTTCATACCAATTTTTACTTATTTTTAAAAGCTCAATTTTTTTATTATTAAATAATATTAGAATTAAATTTCACTATTTATTCATACAAATTATATTAAGGAATTAAGAAAATAATAGAAAAAAAGAAAAAGATAAATTATATCAAAATGAAATATAATTACAAACCAGAATGGATTAAATAGTAGAAATATGCTTAAATTTAACTAATTTTATAAAAAGAAAGTACTAGTTTAATTTTTTTAAAATTGCTGTGTTTGCATTTCAAATTTCTTAATTAAATAAAAAATTCTTTTTTTTACAAATAAATTCATATAATCTTTATGTTAATGTTCTATTATAATTTATGTTTATTAAATTTTATTGATTATTATAAAAGTACATTGGAGGAACAAAATTAAAATTAATAAAGTCAATTTAAAATAAACTTAATTCTTATTACTTATGTACCATCTATTAATAAAGTTTAGTATAATTTCCAATAAAATTCTCTTTTGAAATATCAAATAACAGATTTTTTCTATATTTATTGTATTCTTGATCATTAATTTGATTGATAATATAAATAGAAGAGACATTTAAATTGTTTACTTATTGAAACCACTCTTAAATTTCAAATAATTCACTTCATTTATTTAAATTTAATGATTAATTCATATAACAAAAAAGCGAATAAACTCTTCAGTTAAAAATAACAACAAAAATTCCTCCTTTTTTTATTTTATGATGCAATAGTACTATTTGATATTCGATAAATTAAAAAGTTCATTTTACTTGGATGTTATTATGAGTTTTAAATTTCTTTTTGAAATCACCATAATTTTTTTAAGGTTGAATTGGTTATTTTTGTTTAACTTGAGTTTTATATAATGGATGAAATTTATTATGTGATTACTTTTATAAAAATATTTTCCTTTGTTGGCTTATATATTAAAAGAAGGAATAGAAATACAGTTTTGATTTGACTTAAATATTTAACATTATAAAACAATCATTATGTAATCATTGTAAAATAATGATGCAAGCATTATTTAAAATAGTAAAACTACCACACGTAAGAGTATTATGAAGATATCATAAATTCTAGATCAGTTTTAATATGATGTGGATGGATTAAATAAGAATGAATCTTGATCTCTATATTATATATTGAATATAGACAAAATTGACTTATAATATCTCAGGTTCTAGCTTTCTTGATTCTTTTGGCTAATGCACATTTATATTTTAAAAGATTTCTATAAGAAAGTTCATCATTTGATGTTTCAATGACTAAAAAACTTAGTCGTTATGGATAAATCTCTGTCTTTTTAACTGTTTATGCTTCTTAAGATACTTCTATTTCATCATTCCATATTTTAACTTACACATCTTTGTTGGAATTTGAATTCATTTGTTTGGTTAATTTGCAAAAAAGGATGAGTTTAGGAAAATTTTATTAAATAAATAAATAAATCTGAGCTATAAAGTAAATCAATTTAAATGCTAATTTCTATTTGAAAATCAAAAAAGAGTTGTGAATTTGCAAAAATATTTTTTTTCTAAATAGCTATCCTAAAGGACTTGCAAAAGAATGTCAAACATAAAATATATTTAAAACGGATTTATAATATTTAAAAATATGCCGCTAATATATTCTTTTTAAAAAGAATATTGATAATTTATAAAAATACATTCTTAAATACAAAATATAAAGATTTGAAATGTAAAACAATATATTTTTCAATTTGTATTTAATTCTATTACCCCATATTAAATTAAAGCTTGAATTAATATGGTTTAAAGATTTAGAATTTTAAAGAAAATAATAAAATACATAATAAATAATATCAAAATTCTGCGCCACAAAATAAACATAGTAAATCAGAATTTGGATGTCCCTTTGTTATTATATCCTTTAAACAATGAAAATCAATTTCTTTATCATATGGGATATTCACAGAATCAAATATTACTCTAGTAAAAAATTCAGATATATCATTTAAGAAATTCGTATCTTGTGTTTTGACTATTTTACTCATAGTTTGATGACTTAATTTAGAAACTTCAGGATAAGAGAGTTTACCATTTTTATCCATATCTGCTATTTTAATAAATAAATCAATTCGTTCTTCTTTAGTTTTGGCTTATACTGAACTCATTAAGAATAAAAATTGTTACCAATCTAAAAATCCAGAACATCTAGAATCTATAATATTAAATATTCCTTTAGCCATATATTCTGATTAATCTTATATATTCTCTATTCCTTATCTATAAAAATCATATGATATTCCTTTAGTTAATTTATTTTTTTCTCTCTTTTATGTTATAGCAGTTAAAAGTTAAAGAACTTTAAAAAATGAATAAAAAGCATATAATTAAGCTCTATTCAATTTATATTTAGTTTATATTTCTGGTATATTCATTTCAGTTAGTAATGGAATAGATTCCAACCAATTCTATTCATCTGAAAAATAATTTCTAGGTTTAAATTTGTTTTTTAATTATTCTTTATCTAAAATTAATTATAAAGGATGACTAATTCTTTTAGAAAGAGTTTTTGATTCAAAGGCTCTACTTTTAGGAGTAGGATATTAAATTTAATCATAAAATTTGATAATCTTTTCTACATCATCAGTTTTTTGCGATAATTAATTATGCATATTTTCTATATAATTTTATAATTCATCTTCACATTTCTACATGTTTTCTATAAAATACTTCTCTTATTTATTCATTTTTATTTTGCTTAAAAAAACAAAACTAGATTTTTATGTTTTTGGTGATAAATAGGGTCTAGATGATTAAACACTAGTAGTTCTTGTGTAATTATCATAAACTGATTATAAATTTCTCATTTCTTTTGTTAAAAATATACCTCTATGAGTAGTAGGAGGTGATTTAGGTACATCTTAATGAACAGATATAAGAGAAAGACATGATTTTAATTTACATAAAGGTATTTATTATAATCCTTCATTAGAATGATAACTTTATGATGCTCCTCTATCAATTTTATTTATTTATTTAATATAGTGATCAAATGGTCTAACAAATAACCAAAATAGATTGGATCTTGTACTAAATAAATATGATTTGCATGATTTCGAATAATATTTTATTTAGTTGCCATAAATATCATAAAAAAATATATTCTTATTTAAGATATTTCTTTCCTTTAAAAAATCATTCAATTCCATTTTAATAAGTGTATCTATTTTAAATTTGATTAATTATTTAAGATTTATTTCAATATTTAAAGGTGTGATTTTCTAATCTGTTAAAATATCGTCAACATATATAGCTAAAATCTTTTCTTTTTGAATAGGGATTTATTCATTTTCAATAAAACCCCATTAAGATTGTCTTTATTGTATTTTTGAATTGCCTGTAATCATTAATCGTGCCATTATTAATATAATATTTTAATCAACAGAGTATAATAAATCTCATTTAAAATAACACTCTTTATCAGTAATTTAAAATAATTAACAAAGTCGTGTTAATGATTACATATTAATAAATATATTAATTATTATCATTACATTTCTATCTATGGATCTTCATTAATTTACCAACCTGTTAAATCAGCCATATATTTAAAATGAATTAAGTAGTTTTAACTATTTTGATTTTACTTTTAATCTATAAAACTTGTTATGTTTTCTCTTTATTCTTTTATAAGGATGACATAGTTAAGTTTCCTTTTAAAATTTATTAACTTATTCAACCTTTTTTTTATAATTTTATTGCTTGATTATATTTAGATGATGATTATCCAAATTTAAACAATATCTTTTTAATTTTGGACTTTCAAAAGTAGATTATTTATTACTCTAAACAATTCTATGAGAATGTATAAACATTGGTTGACAGAGTTAACTCATTAAAATCTTGTGTCTTGTAGTTGAATCATAGATTACTAAGACTCCTTTATAGTTTCTTATCCTAACTATTAACCTACTTATGATTCTTCGTGATTGATTTTATGACATCAGTTTTGGTGTTTATATGGTAGATTTATCTATTTATTTTGTATCATTCTCATATTTCATCTTATTTTTTAATTGAGCATAGTTTCAATATAAATGCAATTAACTGAGGAGCTAGCCTTGTATTTCTTCATTAATATATAAAATTAAATTATTTATAATATTTAAGAAATACAAATGGGAGCGTGTAATAATAATTTATAAACAGCTGGAACCATTAAAATTTAATCTTTTCTTAAATCTCTGCTTAATCATAACGGAGATATATAATTTACTGCTCCTATAGGTGCAATTAAAGATGAACCTTAATTATAAGCAGAAAATTTCAGTATATAAATATGGAATCAATTTGATGGATTAAGAAAAGTTAGATAAGATTAGAATTAGCTATATAACATCATCTCTTTCTTTGTATTGAAATAGATTGTTTAGTAAAATGATTAGGTTTTATTAGAAAAAATATATGCAGTATCCCAATCAATGTAATGGTAAGTATATTTGCAAGGAAGGCAAATTTTAAACAATAAAATGAATTTGAAAAATAGTTTTTAAAATATCGTATAGAAGATTGCAAAAGAAAAACATCTTTTTGAATTGTATTATTAAGATATTCAAAACAATCATAACTTCTTTGTGTTATGTATAATATTTTTTAGAAACTGGATATATGATATTGCATCATAAAACAAAGAAAAATTAAACAAGAAAGAAGAAATACAGAAAATTTTAGATTGGAATATCCCATTTAATTTGACAAATTAAATTCTACTTAACGAAATAGCCTAAAATATGAATTTGTAAATTGTTTATTTATATATTAATTAGGAAAATTAACATTTTTGATGTATAAACACAATCTTAAGAGCATTTTGGAACAGCATAAATAGAAATATTTATAATAAAATAATTAAGTTAACTTTACATAGGTTTACCAAAAAAATATTTTACTAGAAATAATCCTTCTGCTATTATTTATTAATTATATAAGTAAACAAATTAAGCTAGAAATGTAGCTTTAGAATAATAGAAATTTGTAAGTGAAGATTAAAATTAATAAGAGTTAATTTTTGAGTATTAAATGACTAAATAAATGTTTGAATAAATTAATCTTAGAGGATTTAAAAGAGTAAGAGGAGATGGAAATTGTTTTTATACTGCCTTCATCTATTAATATCTATAAATAGTAATAACAAAGTTTGGAGATTAAGAATTTTAACAATTTGTAGAAATTTTAAAATAAATTGATTTTAATCTTACACATGAAACTATTGAACATTTTCCAACAGAAATTAGAAAAGATCTAAAATAAATATTTCTTAATTTTATATATGAAATAATAGGAAGCAAAGATAAGATATTAAGTTTTGAAAATGAATTTAAAAATACAAAAAGTATTTTTTATGCCTTATCAATAATATATGCAAAAAATTTAATTCATTATTTTGTAGAATTTAAGTATTACAATTATATAATATTTAGTTCTGAATATAAAGTTTTATTAGGAGAGGAAGCAGAATAATAAATATACGAATGGGAACTTGAAACAGACAATATTTAAGTATTATTAGTGATTTTAGCAAATTGTTTAAATCTTATTCTGCATTTTTATTTCATTGATTCTGATAACAAAACTATTGATTTACAATTCTATTAACCTTATTAGAATAACTTATCATTACCATCATAAAATATTTATTTACTATTTTGCCCAGGACATTATTGTATTGGATTACCTTTAGAAAAAAATTGATTTAATTTAAAAACTATTTAGCATTTTCTATTATTTTATATACAAATATTTTTATTCTAATAAATTTTTTTGCTATTAATTATTTGATTTAATGTTTTAAAAGTCCAAAGAATTTGTAGTTAATTTTTTACCCTTTAACCCCAATAAAAATAATAAATAGGAAATTATAGATGAAGTTAGTAAAGAGAAAATTAAAGAAAAAATGTTGATTTATTAAAATCATAAAGACAATAATGATTTACAAGTTCTTTAGTAAATCTATGATGAAGTTTATAAGTATAATCAAATAGATTAGAATCAGAAAAGGTTCATTAAAAGCATAGAATCTAATAGTTAATTATTTAGTTATTATTCTATCAAACAATTATAAGAAAAACATAAAATGTTAAAGTTATGTAGTAAATTTAGAGAGGTTAGAGGTGATGGTAATTGTTTTTATACTGCTTTGGGCTTTAGATTTTTATAGATATTATTAGGTGAATAAAGCTAATCATAATTTTTATCTTTTTTGGATAAAATTGAGTTAATCGATCTATAATTTATATAATATTTTAAGAATTAAAAAATACCAGAAGAAATTTAAAAGAGTCTACTAAATGAATATTTATTTCGATTATGTTAAATGAGATTAATAGAAGATAAAGAATAAAGGCTAATAAATTTAGTTTAATAATACAAAGCCTTTGAACCAAAGGATGATATAGATGGTTACTTTTTTGCTTTAACAACAATCTTCTTTAGAAATATTTCATATTATGTAGCATCAAAAAGTGAATTAGCAGAAAATATATTTGATAAAGATAATCTATTAATTTGGGGAGAGGAATGCAATAATAATGAGATAATCATCAAGGAACTTGCAGAATTTTTAAGAGTGTAAGAAATTCACATTTATTATTATAGAATGATAGTTTTAGTATTCATAAATAAAGGGACAGTGTAGAGTGTAGAATATTCTGGAGAACTTCACTACCATTAAATATTACTTCTTTTCTAGCCTGGACATTATAATATTGGATTTGAATGAATTTATATATATATATCACGAAAACTTGGATTTATGATGTCCTTTAATTAATTTGGTTTTGAAAGCATTTTTGCTAGAATATACACCAGATGATAATTATTATTATTTGAATTCTTGAAGATCTGTTAATATATTATAATTATCTTCTTCTTCTTCATCATAATCTTATTATTAAAATACATCCTTATATTCTGAGTCATCATACTTTTTAATATCTTGATCATTTTGATTTTATTAATTCTAATATGTGAATTATTTTTATTTGAATTATTCATATGTCTTTAAAGCATTCTTTGCTCTACTTAATGCTTTCTCTTTCTTGTCTTCTTTTTCTGTTTAAATTTATTATTATTATTATTCTTTTTGTTATTTACTACCATATAATCGATCTAATAATTATTATTTAGATGAACTGATTTATCCATCACTTTTTTCAACTTTTGTTGGTATAATTGTATCTTTAAGTTCCTCTAATAATTCATTAGCTTCTTATTCTGCAGCATCAGCTCTAGATTTTTCATCTATTCTATAACCCCAATTAACATCATGACCTAAAATTAATGCTCCTATTTTAGATATTTATCCATTTCTAAATGCCCATAAATAACAACAACAATCAAATGACGATGTTGCAAAATGTGATCCATCTTTACAAACTTCTATATATGTAATACCATCTTAATGTGCTTTTCTTTAATATCCAACTTCCTTAATGTCTCCTATAACAAATATCTATTATAATTTGATTAATTAATACTTAAGCAATATCTTCTTATCCATAATCCATTGCTGTTACAAATGTATCAGCATCATTATTCTTTCTTGTCTTTATCTTCTATTCTACTTAATGGAGATCAACTTTCTCTAAGACTTATTTAATATTCCAAATTTTTAGATTACCCAATTCATCACCCAAATATAATAAATCATCATGATAATTTATTGAAGTCACAGGAAACTATTGATAGATATTAAATTTACTGTTTCTTCTTAATTAGTCAAAGAGATAGCTTTATATGTTTTTTATAATAATAATTTAGATTTAAATTTACTCTCCAATACACCAATGAAATAAACATTTCCAATAGAATCAACACTTACAATACAATTATGAGATTCCAAAAACATTACTTTTTTCAATTCATATTAACATTTCCAAACCAATTCTTATCTATAAGATACTAAATCTATAATAAAAATAGCTCCATCATCTGCACAACTAACTAAATGCTCACTATCTTATTTAACATGTAATGAATTAACACTTAAATGATGTTGTTTCATTTTATATCTACATGATTTATGAGCATCTTGAGAGTCTTCATCATGAATATTGACAGTATCTTCTCTACTACAACTAATTACTCTTCTATTAGTATCATTACTCCAATGAGCTAAATCAGTAATCATTTTATGATGTCTTTCAAATTTTTTCATTTTAGCACCATTTTTAATATTGACTGTGAATATTCTACCTTCTGCATCTCCAATAAATAATTTCCTTTATCTAGCATCAATAATCATTGTAGTTAATTCAGCAACACTCAATTCTCTATAAACTTATTACAATTTTCCAGTTCTTGCATCCCAAGTTTTAACACTATCAGGATGTAGAGTAATAAAACATGTAAGTGTTTAATTATATAATACTTTTAAACACATTTTCTCATCTGTCAGCATCTAATCTTTAGGTTCATCATATTCATAAAAGAACATCTTTCTTGCACCTACAACAATTTGTTTTTTTGGATAGGTTAATGTAAATGCTTAGATTTCATCTGCAGGAACATTAAATGTTTAAATTTATAAAAAGTTTCTGACATCCCATACTTTCACCATACCTGAAATATCTGCTGTAACTACTTAAGATGTTCTAGGTAAACATTTTACTCCAACTAATGGATGATTATGACCTCTAAGTAAGAAAATCTTTTCTTTTACGTATGTATTCCAAACAAATGCTTCATGATCTAATCCAGCACTAATTAAACATTAATTCATAGGACTCCAATCACTCCAATCTAAACTATATACACCTTTTTCATGTCCTCTTAATTCTTTTTTAGGTTAATGAGTAGCACTATCCCATAAACAAATGTTACCATCTAAACCACCTGTCACTAAAGTATTTTATTAATCTATTGCTAATATATCACCAATAGGAGAAGAATGACCATATTATTAGGAATCTCTTTTAATAAAAGGATTCCAACCTGATAAAGTTCCTCTTTCTTTTAAATCATATGTATCATATATATGAATTATAGAATCAGATCCTCCTGTATA